AGAGTGTATTACCAGCATATATAAGTAAAAACTATTCTAATTGTAATATATAGTACGTAGAAGAAAACCCGACCTTGATACGACCACGGGAAGGGGAGATATACACTGTCATCGTCCCTCCCAGCGGGCGGAGGAGGGCGGGAAGCGTATAAGACGTCGTGAGAGCCCGGCGGGGGTAGTCGGGGCGGCGGGTGGAAGGCGGGAAGGCGGGAACTATGTAATGTACGTGGTTCTGCTGACCGGACATTGCCGACAGGAACAGGGAATGGGAGAAACACAAAAAAGGGAAAGACATGGTATTTACTGGTTATGGGAATCACCATAGCATACACCTGCGGTATCGAGGATACGTGATATCAGCAGCTAACTAGCCGGGCGGAGCAGCCTTAACTCCCTGCTAATAAGCTTATCCCCGTGGGAGGAACAGGTGGTTATCAGAGCAGCGACTAATTCTAAATTCGATTTACTTACCCATTGGGAGCAAGAGTCGGGATGAGCGAAGTATGTCTCCAGGAAGGTGGCTGGTGTGCTTTTACACATAGCCTCCCAATCATCTCCCGGGCGAAGATTCTCCATATACATCTCGTATCTCTGATGCAGAGTCCATATCCCGCTGAGTTAGTCTACGATGCTGACAGAACAATCACTTACCCGCAAGCCCGAGTTCGGAGCCGTACACCCCTATCCGACGCAACGAAAAAATGAAAGGGTGAGCCTCACACGGAGGAGTTGTGACGACAGCAATACACTCACCTTGTCCTTAAACCAGTCAAAGTACGTACTACATGTAGCGTCTCCTCCCTCCTCCCAGGTACCGTACACGCCTAGACCAGCCTACCGAACTGTCAGAGAAACACGATAGAAGCGCGCTACACGACGTACTTTGTCTTCACAGTGGACAGGTTCCTTCATCTGGCCGCTGATGCTCAGTGGCGTTTCCTTACACGCCTCCACGCGTTGTTCGAACTCGTCAGGCACATTTGCAAGTCACGCAGTATACTTGCGCGTCTCATGGCGCACGCAGTGCGACGCCTCGACATCCGCCCAGAAGAAGTCCATCTTTTGGCGCTCCTCCAACTCCCTCTTTCTCCTCTCGCGTTCCTCGCGTTCATGCTCCAGTACCTCTCTCTGCCACTTTCTCCGTACCTCCTCGCGCTCCTGTTCCTCTCGTTTCTGGCGCTCATGTTCGGAATGCTCGTGCTCTTCCAGTTCTCTTTTCCGCTTCTCACGCTCCTCACGTTTGTGATCTTCAACCTCTTGCTCCCATTCCCTACGCACCTCCTCGTGCTCTTCCAACTCTCTCTTCCGCCTCGCGCGCTCTTCATCTTCGTGCTCGCTGACCTCTTGCTCCCACTCCCTGCGTACCTCCTCGTGCTCCCGCGCTTCCCGCTGCTGCCGCTCCAGCTCGGAGCGCTTATGCTCGACCATCTCGTGCTGCCACTCCTTCCGCACCTCTTCCCGCTCTTGCTCCTCGTGCTCATGCTTGATGACCTCCTGACGCCACCCTTTGCGGACCTCCTCCCGTTCGAGATCTTCTTCACCCCAAAACCTGATCTTCGCTGTATGTGCAGCGTCCTCCACACGCCAAAGCTCGTAGAGTTGCTCTCGCTGCTCCACGGCCACCCCATGCATGTGCTCCTCGAGTGCCCATTTGTCACGGAGGCGGTCCATCTCCTCTGCTTCCGGGCAGGTGTCGAGCTTGACATTCTTGACGGCGAGGATAGGACCCACAATGTTGCCGGCTATGAGTGCGACGATTGCGCATAGCGCAAGCCCTTTGAGCGAGAAGCTCCTTTTACCCCGAGAGCTCTGATCGTTCCGATCATCGCGCGGAGGTAATAGAGGCTCCCTCTCGGTGATGTGGCGTCTTTCGATGGGGGTGTCGATCCCAGCGTCCACTGTAGAATGGTAATACGGAGGTGGTGTGCTGGGTTGTAGTATTGATCAGCACTCCCAGTTGATGCTGGGCTTGATGTAGCTTACTTACCCGTTTCGCCCTGGCACCCAGTTCATGTTCGCCGTCGGTAGAGAGAAACGTTACTGGAAAAAGGTGTCAACCAACGAGCCCGGGCACAGTTGAGCGAAAGAAACAACAGGGAGGGGAAGAAAGAGTCATTCCCACAGTAATGTACCTTTATAGGTCCAACAAGTGCTCGAGTTTGCTGTGCATGAGCATCCTTCTGGACATCCGTGTCTTGTTCTCTTACCAGCATCATCCCCCGTGGGAACTTTTCATCCTCCCTCTCCTCCACTAAATTATGCGACATCTATCACCATCGGTTTAGGGATGTCATCACCACTCCACTCCGTTTCACTTTCTGAGGGACGACAACAAGGCGATATACCCATCGGGTGTTGATCACCCAACATCTACCATGCAACAACACCGTCGGCGACATCAGTCCCGCCCACATCAAATTGCTTCAAGCTGGCGCTCAGTGCTCGAGCCCCCTGTTTGCTCTCCCATCTTTGCCCGCAAGGGACATAGGACCCCCGACCCCCGTACGTCACTCATTTGGTACCTCCACGTTGATGGCCTCTTCGGGGTCATCGGGCCTCCTATGGGGTGGGGACCGGGTTTGTTGGGTTCCGGCCCACTGTCAAAGGTAGTTGTGAGGAGACGTGGAATAGGGACCTGGTATTGTTTGCAGCATTCTTTTCTATGGCCATTTTACCTCACCGACATGCTCCTTGTGTGCCACCTCTCCCACACATGCTACCACAGCATACTATACTCCACTTGTGACTTCCTTCGAGTCACCTCATCCTCTCATGATCCTAGTCCACTGCGACGGGGTTCCTCATCTCAACGAGACGGTTTCGCTTTTGAAACTACTCCCTTACCACCTTGTATATGATTCGTTTCATTACGTTTCATTCTTCCCTGCGCATTGTCTACGGACTTCCTAGTGCCCTAAGGGCTTTCTCCAGTGTTCGTTTGTAGTGTTTCGGTTTCAATACATTCCCGCCTAGTGCGGTGTTGAGGACAAAAAAAAAAAAAAAAAGAAGCATCCTTCTGGAACACGCTTTACGAAGCGAGGAGCGTCTCGCAGCAACCTTGCGCCGCCTTGTGATACCGATACGCGCCGTGCATGTTTGTAGCCCGCGGCACCGTAGATCCTAAATTCATATTGGACTGACTTACTACTGTTTCTTACTCTGATGCACCAAGCAATGTCGTTCTGAAACCCCGACATTCATGCATCGATCAAAGATGGTACTCCAAGTTCAGCCGATGTATGAATGGCGATGTATGCCGAATGTACCAGCTGTATTCCACGTTTCGTTTAAAATAGTGATACAGTTTGCTCATTAGTCGTGACCAGAGAGAAATCTAGTAGAAGCAGATGGCGGAAGAAGCAGATAACGCGTGGATGCGCCAGTTAGGCATTGGACACTGCTCGTATCTTTGAAGAAGCCTATATCCCAAAGACCCATAAGTTGCTTCGCTCTAGTAAGGAGGTATATCAGCCAACAAAAGGCGCTAAAGCGAGGCCTGAACTTACCCATGGAACGCATTAATGAGGAAAGCGAACTCCTTGCCCAAAACACTGGCCGGCGTGCTGGAGTACATTGCCTGCCAGTTTCGCCACGACGTATGTTCGCTAGATACGAACGTTAGTATCGCAACGCTGGTAGCTAAGTGACACGAAGACGCACCCGGAGCCCCGAGGAATGAACCGTGCATCCCCTGTCAGAGTTCATTCGATATACAGATAGGTTAACGGAGTATGGTGTAACGCACTTTCTCTTTGACCCGTATAACACATCGCTTCCTCTTCCTCTTCCGTATATATACAGCGCACCCTAAGTACACATCGGGTCACGACCTAGAAGCTGGAGCGAAATACCGCTTACCTTATCCTCGCAATTTGTAGGCCGCTTCGTCTCTCCGCTTTCACTCATCTCCGTCTCCCTGTATGCCTTGACGTGAGCGAAGCCATTCGGGACGTTCACGATCTTCTCCGGGTACTCCCGCGTCCCCTGATGAACACAGCGCGAAGCCTCGAAGTCTGTCCAGATAACTCTGTCCTCTGTCACTCCCCCTCCCGTCTCCACCGCTCCAGCTTAGCAGCATACGCCACGTCCTCTCTCTACAGCAGTTGCCTCACCTCATCACGCTCCATCCAGTGCCTTCGATTTGTGTTCCAGCTTCTCCTACTCCCACTCGGCGCGATATCGCTCGACCTCATCCTGGTGCAGCCGCTTCTCGATCGCCTACTGCGCTCGGATGGGCTCCGCTTCGCGTCAGAAGAGACAAATTTCGCTCCTTCATGCATTAGCAGCAATACTAGGTCCCGCGTCGACGCTCGCCATGAGAGCATGATGAGCAGCCATATCCAACATCGGATCATGGACTGCGCGTTGCTCCGGAGGTACCAATCGTAAAGTCCGGACCTACGAGGTATGAGTGGCTCGGACTCCCGAATTCATACATTGTCCTGAATTGAGATATGTGGACAGACGTCGACTGGACGTTGATCCTGCGGTGGGTGCTGAAGGTGTTGAGAGCGCTGGTATCGTTGGTAATGCGGCTTTGTATTAGGTCTGCGGTAGCACTCGTGTCGGTGGATGCACTATGAGAGGACGTGAGTTGGGCGAGCAGTCGAGAATACACCGTGCTTGCCTACGAGTCCGTCTCACGTCATACAACACAGAGCGTCAGGACGCCTTTCCCTTGTTGAGACGATACGCAACACGTCGGCGTTACCAACATGCAGATTATGGAAAGGGTTGGCTAGGGTTGGCTTGTGTCGACTTGATGGCAAGTGAATGCGTGAGGGGAACTTGAAAGTGTTCGGGCTTGGGACCAGGGAGACGAAGGTTTACGATTCGACGAATGCATCGCGTCTTCCAGCAAGATGCACGCGAAAACCTGCCCTAAACAAAGCCCCTAAGAGGCCCCTGTATGGCACAGTCGCTTTGATTCTCTGGGTCTTTCAACAGCTTGTCTCACATAAGTCGTTAATCTTTATTTCCTCGTGAGTCTTGGCCTTATAAATTCTCAACTTAGTAGGTGGGTAGGTGTCCCGATGCGTACTATGGGTAACGGAGTGGACTGAGGTTCTAGTGAGGGAACGAAACAATGGGAAAAGTCTAGGTCAAAAGTTCTAGAAAATAACACTAATTATATCATCGACGGTCTGATAAGATGTCAAGAGCAGAATTTTCTGCTAGTCATAGGGTGAGTTACCCTCACGAAAGCCCCGTAGTTATCTAGCCGGACCCAGCTACGATATTGACGCAGGAACAGCATGGAGGAAGGTAAATTGTTCAAAGTTTATAGCTATCCAATACCACACGAGTTCAAAAAGATTGATCATGGCCCTTCGACGACTTGAGGTGGAGTTTCTCCATCTTCATCCTGGGAAATTATATTTGAGACGTCATTTCCTATTTTACGACATAGGCCAAAACGCACAAGGCTCTCGGGGCTTGCTGATTGATAAACCTCGCCTGAGTTGCAACGTTGGATTTTGGTTGGATTATCCAACGACCGTTCATACTTTACAAGCTATGAGAAATTGTCAATGCAAGCGAAACGAATGGCTCACGCCGCCATTAAGACATTGGTGTAGACTAAAACATGTGACGATCAAAACTCCGAGTCGCCTCCTGGCTACACAAATAATCGCTCACCTGAGCCATAGATACAAAAGGCGGAAGTCCAAGCGTCTTCAAACCCATGGTTAAAACTGCGCTTAATTTCAATCAGGAGAACCATGCTTACAGCTGTGAGTTTCTACACGGAACTGGTGAAAATCAGCGGACACCGTGAACTTCGAAGTAATGATTATGGACATACCAGAATTAGTATTACAGCAGAGTTCATGCTAACCCACGTCGCGATGAGAGGCAAGCTAATGAGAAGAAGAGTACAAAGTACCTCGTGCATAAACCAGTTTCTGGTCTGTACATTAGCGCAATCACGTATTGAGCTTGCTAAGATGACTTTGCCTATTGTCCAGATAGTGAGCCGATTGAAGACGAAACCGAGGTTTGTGCTACACATTGATTCAGCAGCTCGCTCAGAAGTGAGAGCCTATAATAGGTGGAGATACGCACGGGCTAAACGCGCTACTTCGTCGGCTTTTCTGCAGATAATATGAGGTTGCGAGTGTAATCCACAAGTCGGATGCAAAAACAATCGAAAATGTTACAGTGGTTGTTGTCCGGATCCTTGTCCAGAATACCATGAGATCTGAGGTGGCATATGTATCCGCTAAAATGATGTATGCGAAAACCTGTCGGAGGCACGTAAAGGACAAACCCAATATCGTGGGGACCCAAGACTTCCTTGAGATCTTCCACAGTCGATAAACGAAAAACAACTTGAATATAATTAGACCAATTCTCGCACAGAAGGGCACAAAAACATGCCTGTACTAGAAGTGCAGTGCAATTGATCATCACTATCACGGCCATCATCGAGTTGGGTAATGTCAGAAGATCCAAAGGTGACTTGAGGGCGAGGATGGTCATATCCCATAAAAAGGCTCCTTCACTCGCACAGTTACCAAGCTGAAGAAACCTGAAATCTTGTTATCCATGACGTTCTTATTGCTCCTATAAGTACATGATCATACATTGAAACGAGTGCCTATGCAATGATACAAACTCAAATTAAGCTTATCGAGGTTACAAATTCCTATAACTGCTTACTCACCACTGTCTTGAATGGCCATTTATCCTCGGAGAACCTTGTGAAGTAGACATATGCTTGAACAAAGAAAGTTCCCGTCAGAAATGTGTTCGCAAGTACCCCAGCCTCGAGAGGAGCCACGAGAACAGTAGAAATGGAAGGTGACTGGCATGATAAAGAAGACATTGAATGGGTGGTAAGGGTCGCGTTGGAGATAGGGAAGAAACGCAACGGACTACCATTTAAACCGGCCTCACCGCCGCTGGACAGTAACCGTGTGATGGTGAGATTTGATGTTTTTTGAGAGATCTCTCATTACTTTTGATGTTGAGAACAGCGAGCGCCTCCACTGAAGAGGAACAATGATATCACCCCACGGTATGAGCGAAAAGTCCTAGGTACGGTCATGGACCTACTACAGACACCTGGAACTGCTGTTGATCCTCGATCGGTAAGGCTATACATTTACGGGAGACCGTGCCTCTCTCGCCATTCATATGTAAATTGAATGTTAAAATGTTCAACCGAGTATTCTTTCAAGTGTAAATATGCGAATGACACAAAAGCTGCCTAGGGTGAGATAATGGAACAGCGAAGGCTGTCGGCAGCTTCAGTGATTGGTGTTCATTTTCAGCAACGGGATGTATTCTGGAGCGTAGTGACGGGCCTCAGGATCATCAGAAAATCTGATCATCAACTTTTCCCAAGAAAGAAAAAGACACGCACCAGCCCTCGTCATGATCGCCGACCTTTTGGCTGGTTCCTGGCTTACCGCGGGAGGTTCTGAATAGTTCCAACGGACCAGTAGTTAGGCTGAGCATCATTCATACCAGTATCGCGAGATATGCGTACGCCATAACATTAAGAAATCAAGGGACAGTTATCAAACCAGTCATCTCCAACGTGATCAAATCATACAAGAACAAGTCTTGGACTCGGTGAGTACACCAGGCTTATATATGGTATGTTGAGTTGGAGAAGGGCATGACAAACAAAGGATGATTCAAGGAATACATCGAAATTAGGATCAAAAAATCGTAGGTAAAATACACTAGTCCAGCAAGACTGTAAGGGGGTTATACTGTTCTATCCGAACGAACAAGTCATAGTATCTTCTCTACCGGTAGCAACGATTGAGTTCGCCAATATGTGCTTCACACTCCACCCGACTGAAATACTATGGCTGATTCGTGACGTATGTCTATCACATTGTCCTATGGATGTATTAGAGTCACATTTCTCATATATAATCAAGTGTGTCAACATATCACGTACCGGAATCTTCTTCCCATTCCCAAACGGGTCGACCGTTTTATGACGAAGCAGTATCCACCGCCCGTTTAAGCTGCGCTGGTGTTGAAATGTCTGGGCTAGTGTATAGAGGAGGCACTTACGCCGCCATCAAAGCATTGGTGTACACTGTATTGTTTCATCTTTGAGAATCATGTGTCAGAATCAAAGAATTTACTCACCTGACCCATAAATGACGAACACTGAGATCCATATGTCTGTTTGTGCAGATCTCTCAGAAGATTGAAATCTGGTTAACCATTTTGACTTACAACTCATTTTCTCTAGCAAAAACTTGGATAAAGGATGTTTTACTACGACTTCAAACCAATAACATGGCTGCATACCAGTATCAAGAGGAGCATGGATATGAAGCTGAGAGAATCAAACCATGAATAACGATGAGATCAGAACTACAACGGTGTCAGATACCTTGTACAGAAACCGGTTTCTACTCTGAACATGAGTACCATATCGAAAGCGGATCGGAAGAGAATGCTTACCAATAGTCCATAGAATAAGAGTATCAATGACAAAACGTGTTCTACATGGATTGGGAAAGTTAGTTACATTTTTAGGAGCGATGCTCAGTTTCTTACGGTCCGAGTGTGCCGCTTTTTCTGTTAGCCCACAGGTAGTAAGCAGTTGCGGAAGTGATCCACACGTCTGATACAACAACTGAAACAAACCCGATGATGAGTATCGTCCGTATCTTTGTCCAGTACATCATGATCTCGGGTGTGGCATACGCCCTCGCCACTGCGATGTACGCCGGTACTTGTCGAAGGCATGTAAAGAAGACCCCGAAGAATCCAAGTCTCCATGACTTTTGAGACAGCATCCATAGTCGATAAACAAAGAACAGCTATGGTGACCGCGATTAGAGCAAACATTCATCCGCGCATGAAACAGTCAAATCTATTAGCTCACCTGTACAAAAAGAGCGACCATATTGGTCGACACCATTACGGCGATCATCGAGGTTGGCAAGGCTAAAAGCTCCATGGGTGACTCCAACCCAACAATGCTCCTGTTCCACAAGAATGCACACCCGCTAACGAAGTGTGTCACCTGCAGACACCTATAAAACACGTACACAAACATCAAGATGAATGCCTGTAAAGTGATGGTGATGGCAGGACATATGGATCAGGACGGCTCGGAGGTGACGCACAGGGAACACGCACCACCATCTTAAAGGGCCACTTGTCCTCTGGGAACCTCGTGAAGTAGATATATAGTTGAATGAAGAACGATCCAGTAATGAACGTGTTTGCGAGTACGCCCGCTTCAATAGCACCCACGAGAGAGGTCGCTAAAGAAAATGAGCCTCCGTCTGTAAGAGAGGGAGACATTCGAAGGTGACAGTGACTTTCAGGAATGAAACGCGGAGACTACGGAAATTGAGCGTTATAAGACATGTTCATCAGTGCTATGCGGGGAGAGACGATCAGGGAGATCAAGGATCCGTCTCGGATCCTCATCATCAGCTGGAAGGCTATGAATGTACTCACAGAAGTTCCATCAAGTTTGTTGGCGCTCAAGGGAGCATGTCTCAGGGTTGGGTACGACATAGATGCCATTCAAACACGACTGGATATGGTAGAGAGCGGCCTTTGCATTAAAGTCTTTGCAAGAGTCACGTTACCACATGAATCGATATCACCAGGAGTTTGTCGCCAGAAGAGAGCATAAGCGTACACCAGCAGACACAAACTGGGTGGACATGTACCGGCCCGAGTACTCAGATATAACTAGATGTCGTTATTTTTGGTTTTAGAGAGTGTCTCGACTTACAGCCATTCAAAGGCAGTTGAGCATAGCGCCTGTTGCAGCATTGCCTCGTGACCCTGGCTGCAGAAAGATCAGCGCCTTTTGGATAGACTCATCTCGTGTAGGGCGTCAGTTGCGTGCGACCAGCGGTACGTTGAATCTGGGGAGAAATTCTTGCCAAAGGTGAAGATCATTCGCGCCATATTCATAGAAATTGATCGCCGTAAAGATAGGGCAGTGTCGATCAGGGCAAAATCCGGCCTAGCTTGTGAAAGTGAAGTACAGCAACTGATTCGCTTGGACAATTATACGCTCTTAAGCGAACCTCATAGCTGCGCTAATAAAAGCTGTTATGGTACAAAGAGAATGAACGTGAACAAAAAATAGTACTCCGTGCGCACCTACACCTCGCTCTCTTTGAGTTCATTCACTGCCACCGCACCAACAACACTATCCAACTCATGCTTCGCAAACGTCAACCCATCGCTGTATCTCCTCTTGGGCCTCGCATCCGGACCTGAAACATGCGACCCGCTCTCGCTCGCTGTCGCATTTCCGTCTCCCTGCTGCTTAATCCGCCCCGGCGTAAATGAGATCGTGTCGAGCTGCGTCGCGGTCGACGTCGACGTCGCGAAGGTCGTAGCCGTGGTCTTGTCCCACGCGATGCCGCGCGATATGCGGAGCAGCACAAGCAGAGGCGCGATGATCTGCGCCTGGCTGAGTATGGCGATCACGAGGCGTTCGGCGGGGTGCTCGAGGAGGTATAGAGCGATGAAGACGACAGAGGTAGTGCTGTACAGCGCGCAGGACTCGACAAGCATTCCAGCTATATTTGTAAAGTGTTGTGGGTGGGGTATTGAGTTACCTGGATGAAACGGGTCAGAAAGGTGGGGATAACTTGCAGAAGATAGGATGTAGTACCGATGTGTTTGGCGTAATAGCGACGGAATAGGAAGAGTCGGCCAGCCATGCAAACAGTCGCGAAAACGTTGAGTACCATGGAGAGGATGAACGCCGGAACAGTCGTGTGCTGTGCGAGAGTAGAATAGAAACTATGTGCTGGGAGGGAAGAGACTACAACGGATACTCCACCCAGGACTATGTGCACCGTTAAGCCAAACGTCCTCAAAAGGTCAGAAAGAAGGCACTCACTTGTCGCAGCGGCCCAGATAAGGATCGAGATAGGCATGAAAACCTTGAAAAAGCGTGACTCATAAAGGATGACTTTCATCCGCCATACCTTGCAGCCATCCACTGAGCCGAGTGTACAGAGAGAATAGATGTGGAGGGAACGTACCATCAGCCCGTTTGCAAGCACGGACGCAAGCCAATACGCAACATCCGCCAAAATCGCGTCCGGGCTCGTCCAGTCATCATACGCAAACGGCCCAGGCTCGAACAGCCTGTGGTTCACATAGTTGACCTGCACCGAGCGCGACAGCCCTGCCACATACAGCGTCCCGCAAAGCCACATGGCGCCCACGTATGCAAGTAGGAAGTGCAGCCTCCCGCGGGAGCGCGAACGGCGCGGCCGGCCGGCGCGGGAGATGTGGGAGGACTGCTGGTCGAGGAGGGTGGAGACGCACATGGCGGCGACAGCGCACATAAGACCGTACCATGTGCCGCAAACGGTGGTGCTCCCGATGAGGCGGATGCTGTCGGCGAAGAGCTCCTCAGGTGTCTCGGGCGGAACACCGGAGGAAATGTTGAGAGACATGGCCAGCGATATGGGGGCTTGAGCTAAGGAACCGGCGGGCGCCTTGAAGGCGATGGAAGAGGTATTGGGAAGAACCAGGGCAGACAGGTCGAGGGACTTGAGAAGTTCAAGCGCCTCTCGGGGAGCGAAGGGAGGCGAAAAGAGGCTGGGTCGCGGTGACGGCAAATGTGGGGGTTACCTTGAAGTGGGCGCCAGCGTAGGCCGCGTTGTCTTGGACGTTCTATACTTATGCATCATGTCTTGCCCGGAGGCGAGGTGGAGATAACTGGTGTCCAATCGATTATTGACAGGCTCATGCGAACGGCTGATCCGCCAGGAAGCTCCAGGAAGGCGATAAAAACTTCTCTGTCGACGACAGCCCATTGAGAAAAGTTGATGGGTTCATCCATGATGGAGACTGTAGAGGACATCCGATTCACGGGCGCACAGTGCCTGGCGGCGGGACATGGCGCTGTCAAGCTGCCCAAGAGGGTTGCTTCAGCCAATGGCGTTTGACAACAAGGAGCGCGAACTGACAGGTTTTATCGGATTTTCTCACTCGCTTAGGGTCACCCGACGCCTGGGCTCGAACATCACGGACGCATTTCTATGTGATGGCTCCCATCTGAGACATATTTGCATCTATGTGAACTCAAAGGCTGCGTCGACAGATCGAGGGCCGAGCGGGTGCATCATCAAGTGGGTCAAACGCCTATAAACCAGGACAAGCCCATTGAAACATCCTCATCATAAAATCGTGTATGAAGCCGATTGTTCGCTCCACTGACAAGGTAGACTACCGAATTCGTGACATTGGACATAGGACTTGGTGGGGCAGGCACCAGGGACCGAAGGTGGGTCAGGATGCCCCGATCATCGATTAATTGATTGCCGAATGTCGTCAAAGATCCTCGAGCGACGCCAAGTCATATCCTCTGAAAAATATCAACACCGTCGTTAGCCATGCAGGAGACATATGTTTGGGGTTTCAGATCTGTCCTAAAACCGAGTTTCCATAGAAAACCGACAGGAAAGAAGGTTCGTTTTCTTGTTGAATGTGCTCTGGTGGCAATGTATCAGAGCAATATCTCATTGCCCTGTGTTTGTCATTTCAAGGGGATCAATGCTCTGTTCTTCGTTCATACAGCCGCTCATACTCAATGCCACATAAAGGATCGGGAAGCACTAGTCGGATCACAGTTCCTCTTTAGCCAGCCACCTCTGCACCAAGGCCAACGCCTGCTGAGGCTTATCATACGGCACCTAAGAGCATCGTACAACCACATCAGCAAAAATATCTCCTCTGCGTCTCTCAAAGCTCGCACTCACCATATGCCCAGCAGCATGCACAGTCGCAAACGTCAGCCCCTTCGCAGCCCTCGTCTTCCCCGCCATCTCGCCATCCACAAACCACTCTCTCAATCCCTGCCCACTAAACTCCTCGTGCCCCGTCCACGCCATATCAAGCGTCCACCGCTCGTTGCCGAGCCAGTTGCAGATCCAGTCGTAGTCCCCCACGTAGATCAGGGCGCGCACGCCACGCTCGAGCAGCTGCGCGACGTGCTCCGTCATCGGGTGGAACTCGTCGAGGTTCTGGTTGAATGCGGAGCCGACGTCGTCAGAGCACGAGGAGAAGTTCTTTGCAGAGAGGGAGGGGTCTACGCCGAGCGCGGTGCGGACGGTGGGGCGGTCGAGGAAGTTGGTGATGTACCTACAAGGATGGAATGTGCGGTTTGTTAAATACTGAAGACGTGACGCCGTTGGGAACGGGGCATACTTGGTCTCAGGGTAGCAGAGCGTATCAGCAATGTCGCCTTCGCATGGCTTGCTGATATCGTACGGGTTTAGACCTGCGAGGTACCGTCGTTCAACAATTCCTCACGAAGGTAAAAATATGTTACGACAGACCTGTCTCCCAGAACGGCGTCTCGAGATAAGACTCGCAGAAGGTCCGCGCGGCGCCGCAGCTGATAGCGTCAAAGGTGTCGAGACACGACTCCTTGGTCCAGCGCAGACACCGAGGGATCTTTGAGGAGACTATTGGTTAGACATCGTCAATGTCCTTAAGTCAGAGGGCGTACCGCCTGCTTGGCAGCGATACACGAACTTATACTCGCAACCGGAGGAACGGACGCATTTGTACACGCCATATCGACATATGCAGAGCCCATGGAGACGTAGTCCGTCATTCCGTTTCCTACACCGCGCATACATCCATCACAGCCGTCAGCAAGCTTCGAAGGGTCAACGCTTCAAGCAGCGAGGGATACTCACCGATCATGACCGACTGCAAGTTGATGGGCGTGATGCCCGCCGCCTCAAGCCGCGCGTTCTGGTCATACACCTCCGACGCGAAAGCGGGGATGTACCGTCCCTGTACGTTTCGCGTCAGAAAGCGCAGAGATGGAGGAGGTTTCATACATGCTTACGCCATAAGACTCGCCCGACATATGGAAGGCGCGTCCTCTGAACTGGCTAAAGTTCTCAAAGAAGATCGAGACGAATGCAGCGATGTCCTTGGCTGCCTCCTCAGTTGTGCTCTACACGCATGCATGTTCGCATCGAAGATGAGGGGTGCATCAGCGTAAGATAGAGAAGACAGGATGCGGGGCAAAAGGAGGGAACGTACAACACTCTCCCCGTAATCCGCATACGAGAATCCGACACCGACGGGCTGGTCGATGAAGAAGACATTTGCGTTCTCGTTCCATGCGTATGGGTTGTACGTCGGTCCGTCTGCGGTCGTCACTCTGCATGGCCCGAGCTCCATAAAGAGCCCGAGGCTGGAGGAGCATCCAGGGCCTATGCGTTATGTCGTTGTGCGTGAGTACTACGATGGCGAACAGCAAGGAAGGCGAAGGAGGGTGAATGGGGTACAAGGGGGACTTACCACCGTTGGTCCAAAGGATAACATCGTCCGCCGAGGGATCGTTCCGGCTCTCGAAGAAGTAGAAGAAGAGATGTCTTGCTTCGATGTCGATGTACCCCGAGTACGCGCTAAACCGTCATCAGGGCAAAAAGGACCGACACTCAGCTTGAGAAGTCGAGCAAAAGAGGATAACTCAGAAAACGCACTTTACCCCCGCATCGCAGAAATCCGACTTCTTGATCCGCACGCTGTGGTTCGGGAACGCGGGATGCGCAAGCGTGCTGTACGTCTCGCTCTGGAGCACGCTGAGGTGCTCAAGCGGCGCGAAAAGGCCGTCGTCATACGACACGTGCGGGTTTGGAATAGCCGGAGGTTGGAAGACGCTCTGGCTCTGGCGGGCACCGGCGACTTGACTGACGGAGGCCACAAGACCGAGGCCGATGGACAGAGCGGAGAGCAGCATGGTGGTGGTCGGGGAGGAAGAGCCGCTCGAGAGCTCGGGGGTAGTTGACGGGCGGACACTGGACAGACTTTGACACATGCAGCGGTCCCCTTATCGCGCCCAAAATACGTCTCCTGGCAATCTCCTGGTCTTGTGAGTCTCTCTGGCGCGTTCTTTTCGCTCCACATCCTCTTTTATGGTTCCAGCGCATGTGGGCTTGCTTATCGACCTCGAAACATGCGTAGGGGAGGGCAAGAAAGCCGGGAGACATGATATTACAGGCCAACTTTGGGTTGACGCGGAGGACAAGATGGGAAGGACGCGTCTATTGCTCCCGAACTGGGGTAGACATCCGTCGGGATCTGTCGGGATGCGTCGGCTTCTTCGGGACATCGACTCGAGCTCGCAGCTCTAACAACCTCTAGCAGGTACTAGGTTATCTTGCAATTACCATATCCCGAGGCTCGATATATTCCTCATCTCTTCACTTCGGGCCAGAACTGAACGCCCCAAATAGACCTGATTGCGACCAATGGCGACATCGCCAACTACCCTTTGGAGGCACAAGCACTCGTTCAGACCTTATAAATGCCCACCTCCGTTACTCGGTGGCGTTCTTGGGACTGTGTTCAACTTCTTCTCGGAAACTACCCGCCTACATCTTGCCGCCTTAATGGTGAACAGGTTCAACTATCACGTCTATGAATGCTCCTGAGGACGGACACTCACGAATCCACACCTCCTCGCTGCCTTGTCAATAACATGCTAGAGTGGTTCATCTCTTGAAACCTGCTCAAAACTCGAGGTGCTTGGATCAACAGGTCGGGGCTGTCACCATAATTACCGACTGACTCGGTGACAGGTGTGTCATCAATGCTTCACCGACGTGCTCGGTGATGGCTTCGGGCTTGGTCATAGTCAGCGACGCGGCTAGGCAGCGTCTGGGACGGGTATCACCTTGTGCAATCGAGAGGCTCACTTCGCCGCCAACGCCAACGCCAGAAAACAAACGATGCACGTAAAGGTTCTATGCAGCTCTGGGTGCTATAAATTTTAAATATGAAGCAGGGTATCCTTACAGATCTACCTCGACGCGTAGATCAGAGTTCACAGAAAATGACATTCCCTCTCGACGTCCTCCAGTACCCGCCCCCACCGCCCGCCGTTCCAACCGCTCACTTCCTCCCACTCATCCCGACGCAGCACCCCGCGGTACCACATCATCTGCGCACCAACCAGGACATCCGCATACGAGAAGCTCATACCCTGTATCCACGGGCCCTCGCTCCGCTGGTAACACGCATCCAGCACGTCCAGCCCTTTCTTAAGCGCCTTCTTCTGCGCTGCACGAGCCTCGCTCCCCTCTGGCGACACCTCCGCCCATCGCACACCGAACCTCTTCTCCCTCGTCCGCACGAAATACTCCCGGCTCCCCTCATTCAACACCTCCTCGACTCTGAACGCCGCCCACCGCGCCGCGCCCTCGGTCGCCTTCGCCAGCGTGATCCCAAACGCATACACTAGCGCCCTGCTCCCGTTCGGGAACAGGCTGCGGTTCGCGGGGTACGGGTACGTCGACTCGAGGTACGCGGCGATGTCGAACGAGTCCGCGACGATCGCGCCGGTGTTGGGGTCGTGGATGACGGGCACGGTGTGCGCCGAGCTTCCGTCGGAGCGCGTGCTTTTAGGGGCGCCCAGCGCGGAGAGGGTGGACTCGATGTCGGGGAACTCGACCCAGACCATCTCGTATGGGAGGCCTTTGAACGAGAGGGAGTATCTGCGGGGCAGGACAAGCGACACGGCGTGCGGTGCGGAGGAGGAGAGGCAGGACGTGTGTTTCGGAAAATATGGGGCATATTGCGTGTCGCGGTGGCGCGATGGGCGGAACAAATTGAGCACGTGAAATTTTTGTGCGAGGAGGGATGAAGAGCAGAACGCACCTGGTTTTGGCCGTGTTTTGACTCCAGTACTTGTGCGGAAGCCTGCTCGGCACGTCGTACAGTATAATGGGCTTCATGTCACGAGCGATGCTGATATGACGACGTCAGGAAAATGTTTTGAGGAGGAAACGTCAATGGAGGAGGAGCCCCTAGTCCAAGGCAATTTGTAGGGATGCTGAGGGGCCTGAGAGCCGTGCGTTATGAGCGTGTCCTGACGAAGACGTCCGAGCACGTGCGGGTGTGGTTTGGGGCGAAGGTGCAAGCGTTACCGCAAGAAGAGTCAAGTTATGAATGGATGCAGCCTGCGCGAGATTATCAAGACGCGTTCTCTTGGCTAAGATTCTGGCCGACGAGGCGCCAAAGTGATGACGCAGCACATACGCGTACGGCACCCGCGTCTTGGAAATTCAATGAATAATCGCCCTGGCTCTGATCACGTCCACGTCCGGTCCGGATGGCCAGCATATGCTCGCGCGTGTTCCGCGGTGTAAATGAAGTGACGGCGACCTGACTCTGAAACAGCCAGTGACAAATAAGACGGGGTTCGTGGGGGATTGAGAAGGAGAGAATGTACGGCGTGAGCGCAAAGACCGAGAGACGTGATAAATAGACGCCTCGGCTTCGGTGAGGTCCTGGCGCAGATGCATTTGTGGATTTTTTTTTCCTGAAACGCCGAGAAGGTGGATGTTTGTCAGCGAGTATCAGCCGCGGAGACACGTCATTTCGCAATGTCGAACCAAGTTGTCGTGATTCTTTCCGACGTTTCACACTCCGCGAACACTGATTCCTCCGGTAATTCAACTGTTCACCGCCACCCGCTTTAGCGTTTTGACTCTGCTCGTCATCACTCTACGGCTTGACCCCGACACCGGACGCCTGCTATATGACCTCCGAAGCAACCACAAATGTATGCAAGTCATCTTTGTATATAATCCATGTACACATACGAATACCACGCGAGTTGATGTGTGATTTGCGAGAACCAGCTCGGAGCACGCAATCCATTCAAGAGTTTATTCTGGAACTGCAGCACGCTCATTAGCACATCTAAGCGAAAGGAGAAACCCAAAAGGCCGATCTGCGCGTACCTGGTGGATAGTCCACTTGGTCGTCTCGCAAATACCATGCACCTACATGCAACTTTCGTCATTTCTGATCTCCTTGCGAAAACTGATGTATGAAAAACGCACGATCGCCGACCATGTACTTTTCGTTATAGCTGAACCCATCGCCCAGCCAATGGAACCGGTTAGATCTCGATACCGCAGAGCCCTCTTCGCCTGTGTTTTGATATTCGTAGTCAAAGTCTTCCCACCGCGGATGTTCAAACGCTCGCAGTGCATGCAGACTTGAGCCTGGCCAGAGACCGGAGACGCGGCCTTCTTCTTTGCCCATCTTATACCATGACCGGCACTTAGAACTATATACAGTCTGGATCGTTGCAAAGGGCTGTAAGGTGCCGTTCTTGAAGTTACCGGTAAAAATCCATCACTTGCCTTAGGGAAGTACGCCTGTGCATTGGCGTTGAGATTTCTCTGTGAATGGCGAGACACGAGTTACCAGCAACGCACCTGCAAGTACCTGTCAAAATCCTCCACTGCCTCTCTCTTCACGTCGATACTCTTAATCCTCTCCCGCTGCATCTTCTGCACGACCTTCGCAGCGTACTCGACTTCCTTCTCAATTACGCACAGCAGAGCACCAGATCCAATCGCCGAGTTCGGGCCGAGCGTATTGAACCAATTCGGGAACCCGTCCGTGCACAGCGAGAGGTACGTTACCGGGTGCGGGGTGTAGTGATCCTGCAGCGTTTTCCCGTTGCGGCCGACGATGGGGAACGGGTATTGGTAGTTGGTGTCGTATCCTGATGACATGCGTTCAGCGAGCCTTTTCAAGGCTAAGCACTGAGCACCGAAATGATTACCTGTGGCGCATATGAGCACATCTAGCTCATAGAGCTGCCCATCTGCCGTCTCGATGCCCTTCGGTGTCACTCGCTTGATTTCCTTCGGGATGAACTCAACCTTAAAATCAAGAAATGCGTTATCTCAAAACGATCCACTGAGCCCACGGGGACTCGGTTAGCTCAGTGGCGACACCTACGTTATCCTCACAAAGAGACTCCAGATACCCATTTCCAGGTGTGAGTCTGCGGCACGCGATAGGGAACGAGGGTATTACTGTGAAGAGGTAGCGTCAAAATGGGGTATACTGTTTGCAAGAGGAGATGAGTTTCAGCTTACTGTGGTCCGCGATCCACGGTTTCTTCGCTACACGATCCGCCATGCTACGTCTGAACTCAGCCTCGTCCTTGACCTGCCGTTCTGGGTCTTTGAGCGTCGTGTGGTGTATCGACTACTCGTGCATACGGAATCAGAAAGGTGAAATGCAATGTAGGATGTATGGAACATACGTTGATAACGTTCTCAAGCTCGTGTCGGAACGCCTTGTAATACTCTGGGTCCTCTTTAAACTTTCGCCGGTCATCTTCGGAGAACGTATCTGCACGACATACGATATTGTCAGAAGATTAACCAAACAGGGAAAGGGAGCTTGGGCGAAAGGCCACATACAGTTTGTCGAGTCCGGGTCACGTTTCATCAGGTCTGCAAGCGTCTCCGAGAAGAACGGCGGACTCAGCCACGTCTTTCCGCGCACGAAGTTCAGAACCTGTCCAACTTTGGGTTGCAGTGCGGGAACAATCTGCAGCGCTGAGCTTCCCTAAAAGACCTTTCCTTCAGTCTACTCTGTCCCAGAACTGTGCCACTCAAAATATAGCGCAGAGAGGGGCGGAAACTCACGACACCAATAACTCCCACTCGTTTGTCCCCCCAGTCCTTCACATCTTCTTGCCAGTCATCCGACATCCACTTGGCGCTGTGCAGGAGTGTCCCCTCGAAAGAGCGCAGCCCTTCGATATCAGGCCACGACCACCGGCTCAGCCCGCCCGCACAAAAGAGGACGAAATCAGCCGTATCTTCAATCTCCTCCGTCTCCTCCTCTTCTTCCGCTGTCCTATTTGTCTTCCTGGAGCCATTAGAGTTATTAGTATCTGTGGCACCATTCGTGTCGGGAGTCTGGGTGTATTTAGCCGTCGCTGGGACGGGCCGACGGAGGCGAAGGTGCCACTTGCCCGAGGGCTCGTCATACCGCGCGTGAACGAGCTCGTGCGAAAGCTTCAGGTAGCGCTCGAGCTTGTATTTGGTGGCGACGCCTTCGATATAAGCGCGGATTTCACGCGCGGGCGCGTAAAACGAGGACCAGTTTGTCTGATGGAACATTTAGATCCGCACTGACCATCTGAAAGATGAGAAGTAGAGTGGTGCGTACGTTGGGCTCAAAGGTCAGTTGATACTACACGACGAACACAGTCAATTTGCCTAGGTAAAAGAATAAATACGGATGTCACGCACGGTGTGAGAAGGGATATCACAGGCAAGGCCCTATGTTTATGCGTCCACAACTTGTATTAGCACCCACATCTAAAACAGCGCCTAAGCTGATGGTACCCACAGGATACCGGTTGGAGTACCACGTCCCGCCGACCCCAGCATTTTTATCGTATATCGTCAGGTCAATGTTCTTGATGTACTGCGGCAATCTGGAACAGGCGTAAGGGTACACGAAATACCGAACGTCAGCTTCAAAGCGTAGTTCCTTCCCCAATGAGCCAAACTGGCACCAAGAGGAAACTCACCGTACACCAGCAGTGACCCCGCTAAACCCGGCGCCGATAACCACGACCTTGATAGGCGGCGACTCGTCAATCGCAAAGTCCCCCAGCTTGAACTCGGGCGTGGATGTAAGCGAGCCATTTGGCGCAGGTTTGTCTCCGCTATCAACGCCGTTAGCGTTTCCGTTGGAGTTCTTCCCTCCGAAAGACATCGTCCGGAGGTGACTGAACGAACGCAGGAACGCCGGAGCCATTGTTTCTCTGATGAAGCCGGGGTAAGATGTTGGGAGAGGGTGCAAGGGACGACGAGGGAACATCTGCGCAGACACGCCAGCCAGAGCTTATGTAGTCGCCCGCAGTGTGCGACGGGGGGTTAACTGTTTCTGCGCATGAATGTATGCGGATAGAATCCCTCGTCCCGTGGCCCGGTAGAGGAAGGGTGGGTAGCAACGCGCCGTATCCGGTGACATTGTCTAGCGGGGCCGGCTGTAAACTTGTAAAGCGGTAACTTTCCATTGCGAATGTATTCATGTCGGTGGGTACCGTGGTTCGGATTGAGTAACGTGCCAACGTGGAACCAGTGCATGAGAAGGCGCAATGGGGAGTGTGGGAGAGAAAAAGACACAACGTATCAAGATTAGCAGCAGAAGCCCTGGAGAAGGAACTGCACATGAACACGTTCTGGTTCGGCTTATCAGTTTAGGCCGGCGAAGACAACATAGCGAGGCAAATGTATCTTCGAAAGGGGGTAGAATGAAAAGAAGAGCGCACATGGGATCAGGTCCATTTGCTGATCGAATTGATAGGTCGAGGCCTTATCAATATTGCTTCTCTTCGCAAAGGAAATCAGAAGTTCGCAGCGTAGTTACAGTTACTCCGTCCCAGCGGGGGCGGGATGCCGGACTGCCCTGCTATCAACCGATAACGTGTTGCGGACAGATCGAGTAGAGATGAGAGACAAGTTGAGATGGCGCATGCCGAAACTCTGAGCGACGCATCGGACTAACATGAGTCAACGTCAAACTATAAGAGCATCAGCATTATTCGAGGACGGGAGGCTCGGGAAGCACGCCAGATACGCCTCGATGTCCTCAATGCTCTACTTTTCCTTTATACTTTTGCACCCAGTCGATCATGGGACAGTTGTCGTGCAAAATGAAATGGCGAGCTCAATCTGCATGTCCTCTGCTGTAGACCATGTAAAGGCTGTTTAGGCGTTGAGGATCTCGAAGTCTGTACTGTATAAATGTGCGTCGATAAGTACATGGATGATTTATTAAGATTGTGCAACGCACCGTGTTCGTAAGTACCAGTAAGTGGACACGCCTCCACTAATGATCACATCGACGACGTTTACCCCGCGCTCGGCGCCACATATCGAGCGCATGTCGGACCTTGGCGTACAGCTTCAATATAATGCCATGCGGGAATCTACCAGACTGGCATTACATTGCAGCCATGTCCTAGATGAGACTTTCAAGTCGGGAGTCCCGCTGAATGGTGCATGGTTGAAGGGCAGGTTTGCTGGTCGACAGGAGGCTGTAAAGAAGCAACAGAGAGACCAACTTGGCGGTATTTTAAGTCGTCGAAATACACACACCACTCCCGTCCCCAGGTCATGTCTGAGACGGACTCTTTCGTGGTCATCCTCAAAGCACATCAAGGAGTGGGAGAGCGATAAGCAAGGAGTGTTTGCAGCTACCCGGGATGATGAAGCTGAGGAACGGCAAGCGATGCATATCGGATGCGCGGCAGCCTGCGAGCGACGTGAGCGCGTAGGCTTTCCAGATGCCTACTAGTACCCAACGTCAGTCTTTGCGTTGGAAAGGACTGAGGGCAAGGTACGAGGGTACGCACATGAACCGCGTGAAGAAGTTCTCCTTCTTACAGTGTCCCCCGTACTAGGTGCTCGACAACCTCATCATGATCCTATCGTTACAGGTGCCATCCGCAAAGTTGTCCAGGGCGAGGATAGTGAATGCCTTGATGTTGCATGCAATGTTAATCAACGTGAGGTTTGGGGGGCCAATGGTGAAGTGAGAAGAGAGCGTGGAAGTCGAGCTGATCGCGGGCCCCGTCGTGAGTGCATGGTGAGGTGCAAGGGAAAGACACCCGAACCTGTCGGGACGCGGGGAAAGCGTCGGGAGCAGTGTCTGGGCCGATAGCCGACGAAATCGCCGAGGTTGAGATCCCCCGAAGTTGAAGGCGAAGCCTCGTCTACCCAGACTATTCCTGCACAACGTCTGGAGGATCTGGGCTATGTGCTATCAAGTACACTAATACAAGCACTTCTTCAAGCCAGTATCGAGCGCATTTTATCTATCGTACATTCGGGACCCACTGTCAACCCACTGCTATCTAATACGCAAACCTGAAATCCAGTCGCTGGTTGCCTTTATCCGCCGTCGTCTCTACATACACTTGTTGTTCCTGTAACATATCATCAGACGCCACTGAGCACGATTAGAGAAAACCTTACTTTTTCTGACATGCTGTCCCACTTTGCTTGTCTGCGGCGGTTGGTCTCTCTGTAGAACAGCCAAGTAAGGCCATATGCCACAATGTTGGCGACTGTGATGAAAATCAACGCGAGGTTGCCATGTTTATCTTACTGGGGTTCAGCACGAACTTGCCAAGCTAAAACCGATGGATCACTTACATAGTGGCTATTTGAGGATGGAAACGAGGTCATGTTATTCAGTATAAGCCAAGATATATCACTGAAGTCAGCTCTTACAGCATCGCTTGTTTTATATATATTCGACTATAGATGTGTGTTAGTAAGCCTTTATGATTTTGAGGTACACCGGAACGTCACTCACGTATGCAACTCCTCCAAGATTGGCACATATGTTGTACAGACTCGCAGACACCGTCCTCCCCTCGACACTCCCCGAGTTTCTAGACGCCCACGCGACTTGAATCGGGTGCACATACGGGAACCCAGTGATGAGCGTGACCACGATGTAGTAGCTCCACTGCGACGTTTCGGTGGTGAACGTATACAGCGCGATCAGGAGCGGAAACGCCCATATCTGCAGGGTGAGACATGCGAATGTCCGCGAGTTGGTCAGCTCTGCGAGGTAGGTGGTAACGACGAGTCCGATCATCCCGATCACGATCGACGGCGTCGTGAGTAGATTGGATTCGGTGGTGTCGAAGCCTAGGCGCCGGAGTGTTAAGGTGAGGTATTGCTGGGGAGGGCCCACGTTGACTAGTTCAGATGAGCGAGCGTTGAAAGACGCGTCAACACGCTGGACGTACTGCAGAAAACGAAGCCAAGATAATACAATGGCCATAGCCTCCAGTCGCTTACTGATCTCCAGATCATAGGAAGAGTCAAGCCTTGCCGGTTATGCATGGATGACTTATTAGGGTCATCTCGCAAGACCCTGCATGCGAGTTTAGCATTGTTTATTCAGTGCCACAAATTTGAGCTGGTCACCTGTTCACCATGATTATTTCTTCTCTAGACTAGAAAATCAGTTTCCCATAATCGTTACAGAAAGGACGCCTTACCTTTCAGTAAACCATCCCTTTGGCCGAAACCAAGCCTTTGTTTGCGTAGGCCCAGGTGGCAACATGAAGAAAGACGCAATGCCGACTACAGCAGTGAGGATTCCCTCAAGCAGGAAGAGCCATCTCCACCCTTGGGTGCCAGTGGCGTTCTGGATAGCGAGGAAGCCAGTTGCGACGAAGGCGCCTATGAGAGCGGACATGTACTGTGAGGAAACAAAAAACCAGCCGATACGGATGGGCACTAGAAAGCGTGATTTCAGTAGTAAGATAATATTGTCAAGGTGATTGGCACTTACACTCCGTCTTCGTATAGAAATACGAAAGATAAAGTACAGTATCAGGGATAAACCCGCCCTCTAAGAAGCCAATCAAGACTCTGCTCCAATCAGCATGACTGCCGAGCTAGCGCCCATCTCACTCACCTCGTAAGAAGAAATGTCGGCCTCCCCGTAAGCCAAAACTGCGATGCCGACACGATGCTCCAAAGCGTAATCTAGCCCGCCGCTCAGATAACCCACAGCTAAGCGGCGACATTCAACCCACCTGTATGGGTATCCAAACATCAGGGCCGATCCTCTTGGACACGATCTGCGACGGCAGCTCCGCCGAGACGAACGCAAACTTGAACACGGAGTTGCCCAGGTTATAATCGTCGGTCGTGAGCCCGAGGTCGGGCAGGAAGTTGTCCGTGTTCGCTTGCTGGATGTTGCCGCGGTCCAGGGAGAGGCAGAACACCATGAGACACGACCAGAGCATGATGCGTATGTCAATCTTCCGAACGAGACGCTGAGGGACGCAGCCGTTGAGCGGGATTAGCTGATAGAAGTGCGGTGATGTTGTAGAAGACAACGCACGTTTTCCTCCCTCCATGTCCACGTCGCCTTCGGATCGAATCTGTGCGCGTTCTCGTACTCCGGGGGCGGGCGGTACACTTCCAGCCCCACAGGATCATCGAACACCGAAGGCTGCGTAGCGATCTCATCGAGACCTTCGTCGCGCCTGTTCCGCAGCCCGCGAAACCAGCCGACCCTGGGGCGTTTCAGCTCTTGCAGTTCCATGAATCCGTCGTGAACGAGACCCACAACGGAAATGCAACGCCCGCTTTGTGCGAGCATTATTACACATATCGCAACTCCATCAGACGATGGCGCGACCTGGCGCTCGCCTGCGCAAAGAGCGCATTCTCCAGCCGGTGTATTGTTAGAACTGCGACTGCTCTATACCGTGTACACGGGTGGACGCGGCAATCACTGAAGCGTTGTCGAATCTGGGGCTCGTCAAACGGTCAGCTGCTTCTCCACACCGGATGACACAATCTCAGTGAGATTTTTACCCAGCGTTTCGCATCATTGTCGTTCCGGGATGCACCAAGTATAAACTACACTGGCCACGGTTCGGTAATGCGGGGGCTTACGGTAGATGCAACGGTGGTCTATATTTGTCAACTGGGCCCCTTACAACGAGACTTGGGGCGACACTACGCCTCGCATTTGGTCGTCCGTTACACTCGCGGGCAGCCAGTCAATAGGTCACCGTCTGAGCACTCGACGCTCAGCGTCCATGGCTCCGGTCTTGGAGCGCACTTGAGGCACGGCCCAGGCGGCGATTGTGGGCTTGAGGTACAGTTTGGCCGTCGCATTACCGGTAGGTTGCCACGCATATGGCGTCAGAGTCAGACACTGTTGCTTCTCTAAGTTTGGGAGTATTGAACGTCGCCCCCGGGCCGTCATCCCGGCGCGCCCCTTCACTGGTGATTCTGAACAGGCCTGATTGGACTGAGTAGAGATTAGGGATTAGCTCAAAGCAAACATACAATAAATCTAAGGCGCGCATCAAACCCTGCGCATATAACCACCAACGTCGACCCACAGCAACAAGCGCCAGCTTGAAAGACGAAGAGTTCGACCCCTAAATTTCCTCGATGCTCCACTTAGGCTTCAAGTCAATGTCGTATGGATCATAGTCGCCCGCGAGAAAGCGGTGCATCGCCGCCCAGCCGATCATAGCCGCGTTGTCCGTGCAGAGCTCGACGGGTGGGAAGGCGAGCTCGATCCGCGCGTCCTCCGTCGTCGATTCTGACAAGGCAGCGTAAGCGTCCAGAGACTCTCTCAGTCTTGAGAGTTGCATATATATGCGTCGATCAGTATCGGGGTCATGTTCGAGTCGACAATTTGAACCACGCACCGTGTCCGCAGATATCGATTGCTCGCCACGCCGCCGCTCACGACCACATCTCCAACGGTAACGCCCCGCTGCGCACACGCGTCCAGCGCAAGCCGGAGCTTCGCACATAGCTGCGCGACAGCAGCGTCCTGGAATTCCCGCGCCAGCGCCCGTTTCTCCGCGAGCGTCGGCGGACGACCGAGCAGCGCGAGGTGCCGGTCGACGGTAGAATGCAGCGACGCGAACGAGAAGTCGAGTCGCCCGCGCATGGGATGGGGGAATGCGAACGACGATATCTCCCCATCGCATTTTCCCTCGTCAGTGGTTGGTTCAGCCTCGCAAAAATCCTCGAGAGCAGCACCCAGCCCACGTTTCCCCCACTCAAGACCGAGGATCCGCGCAACCTTATCGAACGAGCGGCCGACGGACTCGTCTGCTGTTGTTCCGAGGATGCGGAAAGACGTGAGGGAGGTGGCGAGCACGGAGAGGGTGTGGCCACCCGAGACGAGGAGAGTGAGGAAGGGGAAACGCGGGGTGGTGGATGCCGAGGGGGCCGTGAGGAGAGATGTGAGGGCGTGGGCTTGCTATGTGCATATTGAAGCAACATATATAGGAATAATGAGCTGGTTAGAATGGAGGAAGGCAAAGGGAAAGTAGAAGACGCACCATGTGGTGCACGCCCACGAGTGGCTTGTCGAGGGCCGCTGCGAGTGACTTGGCTGCGTTTGAGCCTACACTGAGGCATCCGCCTATGCCTGGATAGTAATCGTATGAACTGAGCAAGGGGCAAAGGCGAGATATATGCGTACGCACCTGGCCCGCGCGTGAATGCTATCCCATCGACGTCGTGCATGGTCATCTTGGCTTCCTGAAGCGCCCTCCGTACAGCGTGCGGCTACTCGACAGAATTCGTATGAGCCAGAGACGGGAAGTGGGAGGCTCAGAGTGATGTACCATATTGCGCTGGTGTGCGTCGATGGCTGTGGGTGGGTATATGCCACCTGTGGGTCCATGTCTGTTCGAGGGTTAGCGTGTCTGCGAATAAGAGAAATGCATAAAAAGGATCACTGACAGTTGATGCTGTTTTATGACGACATTGGACAAGACTCGTCGGTCAGAGGTGACAATAGCGGCACAGGTGTCATCGGCAGAGCTCTCAAGAGCAAGGACAGTAAACGCGCGTGACTTGGCTGTGTGAATCGGGGTCGGGGTCGGGCATGTCGAGAGGAATGCAAGCCGAGTTTGCAGCAGGCTACGACGGAGACATGAAAGGGTAGAGAGGCGCTGCATGAGCTAGGAGGAAAGTGGCGAGGCGCGTCGAGGGAGTCGGGGACGGGAGCGATTGGACCGGTGGCCGAGGAAAGGGCCGAGCCCCTGAACAAGGCCGAGCCTGACGACAGCACCTGTGAGGTGCCTACAAAACACGACAACGCCTCAAGTAGTTCAATAGGCGCAGTTTTGTTTCACTCTCATCACAGGAACGCGCCTGCACCGCCATCACCTCGCTATAAAGGCCTCACAACCTGCAATCGAGCACCTCAGGTCCTCTCTTTGTCCTCGACCACCAATACCACCACCTCTACCACCGCAGAACTTGCTGCCATGCCCGAACCATATAACAACTGGCCCAATGATGCTGGCGTACGTACTACTCTTGTTGAATAACAACCTGCTCCTAACAACTACCGCATGTATTCAGTTCGACCTCGACGTCACCGATGACCAGCGCGAACCCGTCGAAGCAAAGATCACAGGCACGATTCCTCCCTATGTTGCCGGTGTCCTCTACCGCACCGGACCTGGTGGTTACCGTGTCCCCACCGACAAGGGCACAACCTTCGAGTTAGACCACTGGTTCGATGGCTTCACCCAGAATCACCGTTTCGAGATCATCCCCGCCACCTCCACCTCCCCCGCCCGCGTGCTCTACAACTCTCGCATGGCGACCGATCCACTCATTCAGAAGATCCGGCGCGAGGGAAAGATGGATGCGTACAGCTTCGCGAACAAGCGCGATCCCTGCACAGGCTTCTTCAGGAAAGTCATGTCCGTCTTCTTCCCTCCCACGAGCAACTACGACGAGAAGAACACCGGCGTCACTTTCTCAGTGAACCCGCCCGGCATGCACGACACCGTCGGCGTGAGCCCCAAGCACAAGGAAAAGGACGGGCACGGCATCGCGCGCCTGTGGACCAAGACCGACGCGCAGCACTTCCTCGAGATCGACTCTCAAACCCTTGAGCCCATCGGCTACGCCGACCAGGACGTGTTGCACCCCGACCTCAAAGGCCCGCACTCGGCCGCGCACGCGAAGAGCGACCCTGTCACCGGCGACGTGTTCAACTACAACCTCGACACGGGCAAGGTCGCCACGTACCGCGTCTTCCGCGTCAACGCTTCATCAGGCACAACCGACATTATCGCGACAATCACGGACGCGCCGCCCGCGTACCTCCACAGCTCGCTGCTCACCGAGAACTTCTACATCCTCTGCGTGTGGAACAGCGAGCTCGCGTGGGGCGGTGCCAAGATGCTCTGGGACCGCAATGTGCTCGACGTTATTCAGCCAGATGAGAAGCGCGGCGCGACGTGGTACGTCGTCGACCGGCGCCACGGCAAGGGCGTCGTCGCCAAGTTCCACAGCGGACCGTTCTTCTCGTTCCACCCATTCAACGCGTGGGAGGAGCCCTCGAAGACAAAGGCGGGAGAGGTCGACATCGTCGCGGACCTCCCTATATACCCGAACACGGACATCCTCAAACGGCTGTACTACAACACGCTCAAATCCACATCGCCAGACGCGCTCAAGTGGACCGGCGCCGCACGCGAAGGCACCCTCGCGCTCCTCCGCCGCTACCGCCTCCCGTCCGTGCCCGTCGTCTCCCCCGCGTTCGACTCTCCATCTACCGAGGCGCTCAGCGCAGGCACGCAGGAGGCGATCGTGGAGTGGACAGCACCCAGCGACAAGTCGTGCGACCTCCCGACACTGAATCCGCGGTACGTTTGCAAGCCCGCGCGGTACGTGTACGGCGTGAACGACCGGGGCCAGTCTACGTTCTACGACGGGCTCGTCAAGTTCGACACGCACACCCAGGAAGCGGTGTATTGGTCCGCGCAGGCGCAGTCTGCGGGCGAGGCGGTGTTTGTGCCCAACCCGGACGGGACGGAGGAGGACGACGGGGCGTTGTTGACGGTGGTGTTGGATGGGTTTACGGGGAAGAGTTATCTTGCGGTGTTGGATGCGCGGGATATGACGGAGGTGGCAAGAGCGAGTCTTGAGACGGCGGTGGGCTTTGGGTTCCATGGCGCGTATGTTGCTGGGAAGACAGGAACCGCGGTGGATATCTAGTAGGGTTGTACTGTTGCGATTTTTCTTGTTCCCTTGCCCTCATGTTCTTGTGCGCGGTTGATATCACTTGGAGGGTGTTGTACGCTATTTACGCTCATGTTTAGTCACTCATGTTTTCTCCACTCATTTGCTTTTGACATACGACTTACACAATGCATCTTTTCTTCTGTATCCCTGGCCGGATATGCGGTACTATAATAACTCGTATCTTCAAAATTATGGTAGGCTTTTGTTGACCTTTGTTTGACGTTTTAATAGGGTTTTCCTTTTTAACCAAACTTGGCGTGCGATGCTCATCCCGAACAAATGCCGAACGCGTAGGACACTATAGTATGTACTTATACTTTGTTGGTTATACATACATTTATCTATCGTACTTTTGTGTCCTCAGCTATAAGCCCTCGGGCAAATTCTGATATACCGTAGCAATGTGAGAGCCCATTGTTAAGTTCGATAGAGAGTGCCGGAGCGTAGCTCGGCGTGTCTTGTGAGGACTCAACCAGAGTATCCACGACGACCAGTAGCGGAATGTTCTCTGCGTCTGCATCTTTGAGGATGTTGTGACTGTGTGTTTCGACCGTATCGTGGTCACTTCCTGGACGCTGCAGCTTTATAGCCAGGAAGAGTCCAAGTCATACCACCTCTCCTTGGATGCTTGGTATACACGGGTCTCCGCAGTAGTGAAGGTAAATTCGACGGAAGGAATCGCAAACTCTTTGCTGATGCTGACCGCCGCCCGACGAACTTCGCTGTTCTCGAACCACTCAGAGTCCTCCGTTTTCACGTTGGTCAAGGTAAGACTCGACAGACGACACTGTGATCGCCGAAGGAAACGGCTTATGGCCGCGAGGTTTCCACATCGTGCTGGAGCGGTTACGATGAGATTGGAGAGCGAAGGGAACGAAAGAGCGTCAAAGAGGGCTTCGAGAACCTTTTCTTCCAGAGACGCTTCCTCTACCCAAAATGAGAACGTCTGCAGTGTGCGAGACGATGTGTCCGTCCAGCTCTGATTTCGGTGTACCGCGCCTGCGAAGATGAATAGCTCGACGAGTTTTGGAGAACGCCCCAGTATAGCCTGTAGAATGTGGTTTTCAAGGACCCAGTTAGGTATCTCTACCGTCAGCGAGGTCAAGCTCGACCATGGACGGTTCAGGCTCGGCGACAAGCGGTTGTCGAAGAACCTGTTCACGTGGGAGTCAAACCACAGGTAGACATGCAGATGGGTGAGACGGCTGCGGAGGGGATCGGGAGTACACACAGTGTCGTCGAGATGGATGTTGAGGAGCGATAGATGGGTGAGATTGGGAAACTGGTGCATCCAGCCGAAGAGCTCTGAGGAGCGGATATGCGAATCCCCCTGTACATCCATCCCCTTTATGTTCTTGATCTCTGATGTGGCGGGAATGTGACCGACATCTGTCTGTGTGAAGGCCTTCGTCGGCCGAAGAATGACTGTTAAAAACACCGAGGATGGCGGCGATCTGCCTAGGACGTGTAGCGGGAGCGGGAGCGACTCCGCGAACGTCTCAGCGTCCTCTACAGTGCAAAGTCTGATCATCTTCCACAGCTCGGGAATAGCCAGCGCCACATCCCTCCACTGGCGGCAGACTCGGGTGATGTTCAGGGTGCCAGATGGATCGGATTCGGCCATCGTCTCGCGAGGGTACTTGGGTATACACCATTCATTCACGAGTTGGATGGGTTTCTGCGCACTGTGCACGAAGATCTTTGCTAGGAGTTCGAAGGGAAGCTGATTTATGACAGGAATGGGCTGCGATGAAGGGAGGGTAGTCTGGCTTGCCATGGTAGGAACTGAAGAACGTGTGGGCTTATCAGCTGATATCTAGCGTAGCCGGGGTATCACTAAAAACTCACAAGTGCTAGAGGACGAGAGTTAGGACAGGCCAGTCTATAATCCCGGCTGTGACAGACAGTAGGGAGACGCTATCTGCAGGAAGCAGAGAATCGACTTCGCAGCATAATCCGGCGACGACTGGCACAGCTTCGATAAGCGCCCATTGGCGCTTAGATTATTACCCGTATCTTCAATATTTTCCCCGGCTTATGTTTGCTCCTGTTTGGCAACGGTGACTGGGTTAGGGTTAGGATGGGTCGTTGTCCTTTGTCTTCATGTTATGTAGCAGCCGAAATTTCATACGTGTTCTAAATGCTCATGTCCTCGCCCATCAGCGCTGAGCGTTCAGATGTGCCGTAGCGGAGCACGGCATGTCTTGTGATGAAAAGATCTTTATTTAAGTCCGGGCCTCCTTGATAGCTCGGCGTCGGGTCCAATTCTCCGCACTCGACGCGATCGTTCAGCAAGCGGAACCTTTTACCCGACCGTTCACCGCGGGCTCATGCTGCTCTCAGCTCTCTTCACAGTCCTCGCCGCACCGTTCGCTCGAGCGCGTCAAGACGCGTCTTCTTTACCTACCCTTCACCTCGCAGACCCACCACATCAATCGTACTTGAATGCGGGCCTCTCTCAGCAGGCTAGCGCGCTGCAGAACCTGACGCTGGGCGCGCTCTCGAGCGTGGCGCATACTGTGCTCGCGCATCCTGCGTTTCCGGAGTATAGTGTAAGGATCAAGAAGTCTGATGGGTTTTGTGATGCGGGTGTTCGGTGCGTTTCCTTTCCTTCCCTTTCTACTTCCCTTTCTATTTCTATTCGTCCCGTCCTCGCCCCCGCCCTCATCCTCGTCCTCGGATTTGGAGCCGTGCGTGGACTTGATGCTGACTTCGCGTTAATGCAGCGCGTACACAGGGTACATCGATATCCGGCAAGCGCGGCACCTCTTCTTCTACTTCTTCGAGAGCCGGGGCGATCCAGAGACGGACGACGTCGTGATGTGGACGAACGGCGGTGCGTGTCCCCTACCGCTCCGTTCGCTTTCCGCTCACACGTGCATATCTGGGACGCTGCATGAACGTGCGCGCGTGCAGGCCCAGGCTGCTCCTCCGCGCTCGGACTGTTCATGGAGCTCGGTCCGTGCAGAGTGTACGACGCGGAGAAAGGGCCGATGCGTAATCCTTACGCGTGGACCGAGAGCGCGAACGTGTTTTTCGTCGATCAGCCGGTGGGCATTGGGTTTTCGTATGCGGAGTATGGGGAGAGGGTGGTGCGTGCCTTCTCCCGTCTCACTCCCGCAACGGACGTCGTCCCTGGTCTCTCTAGTTTTCCGGGAGCTGACGCGATGGTGGTGGAGTAGAGCAGCACGGAGGAAGCGGCAAGAGACGTCGCTGCGTTCGTGGCTATATTTTTCGAGACGTTCAAGCAGTTTAGAGGGAGGGCGTTTCATATGGCTGGGGAATCTTATTCCGTGCGTGGTCTCTTTCCTCCTCGTCTCTCGCCCCCAAAAGCTTCAAGACTGATAATCGTGCACCACGACAGGGCAGGTACATCCCCCTCTTTGCGGCGGAGGTGTACGACCAGAATAAACGGCTCGTGGAGACGGGGATGGAGCGTATCAATCTGCAGTCGATCATCATCGGCAACGGGTACACGGATTGGGTGTCCATGAGCTCCGCGTATGTGGACATGGTGTGCACGAACTCGAGTGTGCCGCCTGTTGCGAGTATTAGGTACGTCTATCTCGAAGCATGACAGCCTTGAGCTAAGATATGGCTGTTTTTAGCTCCTGTGTCGCTGCCAAAAAAGCTGTACGTGAATGGACCGGATGCATGCTCTTTGTGCTAACGTTGGGCAAGGTTCCGAGATGCTTGAAGTGGGCACAAGAAGCTTGCATAGATACATTCGACGCCATAAACTGCGCTGCCGCCCAGTCATTCTGCAACACTCGACTATGGGCCCCGTTCTGGGAGACAGGCACTTCCCCACCTTCACTTCCATCCTCCCTTAAGTAACGAGAGCCACAGGCCTCAATCTCTACGACATAACGAAACCCTGCGACGGCAGCATCGAAGAAACAATGTGTTACCCCATCACCACCCAAATCAGCGCATACCTCGACCGCCCCGCCACGCGCGCCCTCCTCGGCGTCGACCCGTTCTTCGGCTCGAAGAACTTCACGCGATGCTCCGACCCTGTCGGTGACGCGTTCGTCGCGAGCGGGGACATGCTCCAGGCGGGTGCGACGACCGAGTACGTCGCGCAGCTGCTGGAGCGCGGCGTGCGCGTGCTGGAGTTTGCGGGGACGCTGGACTGGATGTGTAATTGGCTGGGCAACGAACGGTGGACAAGGGGGATGGGGTGGTCCGGCAAGGAGGCGTTTGGGAGGGCGGAGATGAGGGTGTGGGGTGTAGATGGGGAGACGGCGGGGGAGGTGAGGAGTGCGAGGGGGTTGACGTTTGCGACGGTGTATGGGGCGGGGCATATGGTACGTCTTTTGAGACTGATATTAGGGGTTTGGTTTTTGATGGATGTGATGCAGGTGCCGTATGATAAGCCGAAGGAGGCGCTTGCTCTGTTTCAGAGGTGGTTAGCGAATGAGGAGCTGTGAAAGTGGCTTCATACCAGATGTTCAGCTTCATTTGTTACCTCTTCCATCGCTCACGCGCTGAATGGCTGGTATGCCAGCACTGTAAGTGAATTTCACCGAAAGTAGGCACGCGTCAAGTTGAGAGCAACATGGATCTCATACGCAACGTAGCATAAACATGACTGTTATAAAGCAGAGCAACATCACCAGAGGCCATTCTTTACGAGTTTCCTTCTGGTGTCAATAGGAGTTAGTGTGCCGATGAGACCTTGACAAGGCGATGGGGATGTGAGAACGGTGGCGCCGGGCTGTAGGTGACGTCGAGGACAAAATCGGACAAGACGCGTCGGTAATACCCGAGACGCGCCTTGATTAAAGTTCTCTGTCTCCGCCCCGACGACCCTGCAAGCGAGGACCCGTCACCGTGTTGAGCGCGCCAGACGATGCCTCCAGCGCCGTACCACTCCTTCATCTTGCCCTACCGCATACGCGTCGACGAATTCACATCAACAGAGAACCTGCCTGCCCCTTACACCCACCCCGCCCTTCACCTCCTGTCTCACGCACACGCGGACCACCTCGTCGGGCTCTCTGCTCCGTCCTTCGCACACAAGGTCATATGCTCCGTTGACACCAAAGCCATCCTCCTCCGTTACGAAACCTATGGCACCCGCTCGCTCTATGACGAGGGCACCACCGCACAGCGCTCGCGCACATTCAAGCACCTGCGCGTCCCACCCCGCGTCGCGCTCGACGGGACCACCGACTACTCCCACGCACGCGACCTGCTGCACGCGCTCCCGCTCAACACGCCCACCACCTTCGAAGCCGGCGGCGGCGAGGAGGTCCAGATCACGCTTCTCGACGCGAACCACTGCCCGGGCGCTGTCATGTTCCTCATCGACGGCCCGCGCGGCGCGGTGCTGCACACGAGCGACCTCCGCGCCGAGCCGTGGTTCGTTAACAGCTTGACGAGGAATCCAATGCTGCAGCCTTTTATCGCCGATGCGCCGGGTCCTGATGTGCAGATTGGTGCGTGCAGGGCGCGGAAGGAGGCGCTCGCGGAGCGGGCGGGGACGAGCGCCAGCGAGGCGTTAGGTATTAGAAGGACGTTGAGCGCGATACATCTGGACACGGCGTGCGTGTTTTCTGACATTGTTGTCCCGACGAAGGTCAGTGATACTTTCGGGTTATTTGATAAAACTCTGTTGACGGCGTAGGGATGTGTGATAGGAGAGAGCTGTGGCCGACCTTGTCTCGCTTATAACTCTGTTTCCGGCAGAGACACATTTCTTCATCAACTCATGGACCTTAGGCTACGAGGATATCCTCAAGGGAATTTCGAGGGCTTTCAGATGTCAGGTGAGAATTTTGTTTCTATCACACTTTTTTTCCGCATATATGCGCCTCTTATTCTGACCTCCTGTCGTTCTCCTATGTCGCGATACTGGCTTTCATTCGTGCATATGCAAATACTTACGATTGTTGACCTCGACAGATCCATGTCGACCGTTACAAATACGAGCTTTACGCGCACCTCTCCGCCGACCCCTTTCTCGCGCGCATTTTAACTCGCGACGAGAAGTCAACCTGCTTCCACGCATGTGAACGCTTTGCCCGGTGCTCCGAGGTAGACTGCGACTTTGATGTGTCCTCTGCCGACGAAATCGGCAAAAGCAACCAAACCGGAGAGAGGACCAGCGAAACGAAAGAGAAGACGAAGAAATGGGACCAGTGGATCGACAAGGAAACCGACCGCAGTGCAGAGTGGCGCGACGTGAGCCGCACAGGCAAGCGCGTCGTGTACATCAACCCTGTGACGATGAGCGCCGCGCGGTGGGACGCGTACCTGGTCGACGTGAAGAGAAAGATCGGACTCGGAGAGCGGGTCAAGTGTCTGGTACGTTTTTACTGTCTTTACCTTCACCTTTCGAGCATATTCTAACCAGCCCCCAAAAACTTAGTTCGTCCCCCTATCCCGACACTCGCCCTTGCCAGAGCTCTCGTCCTTCGTCTCGCTCTTCCGACCCCGCCGGCTCGTGCCCAATACGCTTTTCCCCACGCTGAACGGGCTCGACGCGCGAGCGATCCAGAAAATGTTCGGGCCTGTGCTCGCCACGGACGCATACAAGGACATCACGCGCGACCCGGCCTTTTCCCATCCCTCCGTGACCGCTCTCCTGGAAGAGGAAAAGGCGACGAAGGGAGTGTACAGAGAGGGGCATCTCGATGTCAACCCGGACGACCCGAGCCTGCGCGATACGGCGGTGCAGAATGTTGTAGGTGTCGACGAAGCGGCTGTGGAGACGTGGGCCGAAGCGGGAGGGACAAGGGGCAAGCTCGAGGTGTTGATTGATTGGGTGGACGCGAGCGAGCGGGAGGTGATTCGGCGGGCGTTGGGGAAGGGGTGGCGGGTTAAGGAGAAGGAACGGGAACGGGAGAAGCAGGAGAGGGAGAGACGCGAGCGCGAGGGGCCTGTTACGCCTGGCCGACGAAAACCGCGGAGAGTGCGGGTACAGAGGAAAGAGACGCAGGGGAGCGACGATACGGACGGCCATGGGTCGTCGGACGAGGATGAGCACGAGCGGATAGCGAGGAAACTGTTCTTGCCGAGCGACGATCCGAATTTTCCACAGTCGATGTCGGTCAGGTCGAGCTCTGCGCCACCGTCGCCGAACGCCTCGCCAAGACGGGCGGGGATAACGCCGTCGTCGCCCCTCAAGCATCTATCGTCACCGCTCAAGCTACCTTTACCACCACTGAAGCCACCGGCGTCGCCGTCTCCGGTGAAAAAGCCGACAGCACCAAGGACGGTCGATGAGGATATCACACCTATGGCGACACCGAAGCCTGGGAGGGCTACTGCGACAGGGATGAGCAGAGAAGGCATCGCGATGATGACGCCTGTTTCGTCTCCACTCAGGCAGGCACGTGTCAAGGGGAAGGTTTACGACCCAAAGAGCCTCGCCCAGCCGTCTCCTGCAATGTTGCTCTCCCCTTTTCTACATCGCGCCCCTGCGTCGAAGACTGGTCCAGGATCTGATTCAGGTCCGAGGGACACCGACATCTCTACGCAATCTCTCGTGCGACTTCCCCATCCTACCGCGTTGATCCGTGCAGGTGCTCTCCTCGATGTGCAGAATGTAACCACAGACTCTCGGTTAGACAGCTCTACAAATCCTAGCTCGCAGGGTTCTGAACCTCGGAAAGACCCTCGGGATGAAAACGCAGGTTTGGGTACACCTGAAGAATCTGTTGCCTTGATGACACCGAAGTCGAGACCTAGGGGAAGCTGTGCATCGGATGCTGTGCTTGCTAATGTACACCCGGTATCTGGTGTACATAACGCGAACGATGCTTCGGCTGCCACACTTCGAGCCGCATCTGGGAAGCAACGTTCCCCCAGCCCCTATACGAATCACCAAAGAACGATGCAGCCCACCAAGCTAACCGACGCCTCTATCTCGACCACCACAACTCCGGAACTGACACACCGAAAGCACACCCCACTCCCTGCTGCTCCTAGTCCCTCTAGGATCCCAGCGACAGTCACTAGAAAGCGTAAACGTGACGATACTCTCTTCTCGCCCGAGCCCGGAACGTCAGAGAGGCCCAGAAAGCTGCAAGCAGTCCCTGTACCTGAAACTTCAAGCAATTGTACAGCGATGCGAGCACATATATCGACGGTGACCTCGGAACATAAACAAGCTCGGCTCGATACAGACAAGCATATTACCCAAAGCGGACCTAGCGTCCATGTTCAAGCCCCTCTTCAAGCTTCGGTTTCAGCTTCCTCCAAGGTCTCCGAGTCCCCGACAAACCCGATGGAAGCAAAACCAAACCCGAATGTAGAGCATCGCCCAGAAGTAGACTGCAGCAAAAGCGTCGCCGGGCAGTCGACTTCCAAGTCCGTCTCGATGGACCGCCACGCGATCGCGCAGCGACTGCGACAGGCAAGGCCCGATCTCGCGCGCAAGGCAGACGAAGAGCGCACGGCGAAGCGAAAGAGGGCGATCGAGCGTGAGCTCGCGCGGCGATATGAGCGCAGGGCTGCAGAGGCAGCAGCAGCAGCAATGTCTGGACGAGATGGCTCTGTTCAGGCTGTGCAGAGCTCAGTAGCTTCCGCGCGAGAGTCTCCAGACCCGGAGGCAGGGTATGAAGACGTAAGATCTACCACAACGACGACGCAAGGTTCGGTAGACTGGGAACGAAGCAAGAGGCTCGAGGGGCATATTAGGGAGGCGGTGCGCAAAGGTGCAAGGCCAGGGGATGTCATCCCCAAGCTGGTGTGTTTGCGTGGGGCTCGGAGATGAAAGGGTCAGGGTTTGCTGGCTCGGAGTGTGACATAGGGTTCGAGTAAGTTATCAATAAGTTATCGCTGTTCGTGGTGTAAGTATTCGTCGTAAGAGACTGGGTGGATGTCAAGCGTTTGTTACGTACCGCACGCAGTTGCTTGGAACGGACCCAAGTTGTGATCCGATGTCCTTGCCTGCAGATTTTCGTGATGGCACAAAGCCATCCACTGGCCGGACGCCGCATGGCTCTGCATCTCCACCTATCCTTGCAAGCCCCAGGGTACGCCGTGAGCTACGTATGTGCCAGACGTGTGAGAAACGCATGTGCATGCGCCCTTGCATGTCTACACGTGACCCTTTCGATGACAGTATTAATTACCCCTGTGCCCCATGTCTGGGGCTTACCATTCTCTTCCTCCTCGCTATGACGCCCAACTACTATCTCGGCAGCCTCTCACAGAAGCTTACCCCACTACGACCATTGACTGACATGGTCCTTAAGCTCGTCCTACTCTTCGTCGTATTGACAGTCTTACGTGCCCCTATCTCTCTGAATCGGAAGCTGTCATTCCGAATCGCACACGCTGCACAAGACTACATTTGTGGGTGAAAGCAGCGTACACCAAATGATCCATCCTAATGTTTTCCCTCGCAGCTCAATCCAACATGACCGAAGTTGGACCTGACCCGGAAAGCTTCGAAGGAAGGGACTTCGGGCTTATCGGCGATTACGGCGTCTATCTGGCAAATATCGCTTTGACAGGCCTCATCCTCGTGCTTGCATTCTTCGACCTGGAACTAATCGCGAGGCAGGTTTACGGCGTAGTGTTCATCTCCGTCGACATAGCATCGTATGCGTGCTGCGTGTTCACGATGTTCTCCGTTGCGTCGTTTGCGATGTGCTTACTCAGCTTCGAGTCGTGTGTACGCTGGTGGAATGAACCCTTGAGCGTCTATCATTTTCGTATAGGTCGCCATATGATACGGTCACTACCGGTACATTGTACAGAGAACATATTGGTAATTCCTATGTAGAACTCTTTACTCAGTGATAATCTGATTACTATTATTATACAAGAGCCTCCTGGCATCAGCACGTTAGCTACAGTCTAGTAATGAATCGTTTTTATGGACTATTTTTATATGTATGTTATTCGAAAAACCCCAGGCATATGTAACTCTTATGTAACCTCTTCGTTAGTTGTTTTAACCAGGAAGAATGTACTAGCAAAGGGCTGGGCATCACGAACGCCGTGGAAGCATTTGCTACATGGAGGCGGGATTCCTCGGCGAGGGAGATGAAATCGAAGCTGTCAGCAAACCCCGTATCATTCTTGGTCGTTTTAACCACGTTCCTATAACCTCGACTTCCCATATGCCCCTTGAGGGTAACCGGATGGTAGTAAATCTCCTTGAAAAGACTCGTGGTTACTCTCTTTGTTTCGAGATGAAAGAGCTAATCTCAAATGACCACGGGGGCTTCTTGAGCACAATAAAGAAAGCCGTAATGAACACAGGGCTGAGTGAGAAAGCTATGGTCTACACATGGACACGAAACACATGACCCCTTATTTTAGTATCATTTTTGTAGTTTATAGGTCGGTGACATGGCCAGTCTCCGTTGACTTCTATTTTATCAAGCTGGGAGTCGTAGGCTAATGTCAAGAGTATAGAAGCGTTTCACAATGGTTGGGATTCACGTTCAAAAGGGTTGCAACGCGCTAATAGCTCCACTCGCATATTTTAGTAGTCTTCTATGCTAGTAGCTTACATATATCTTACTGCTGAGTCCGTGGGGCGCATAAATCATGTTCGCGTAAGCAGCCGATGCCGAGACGAGGTAAGAAAGCACGAGGGAAACGGAAACTCGCAGAATCTGCGGATAGAACAGCAGATAATATCAGATGCCCCGGGTCAATGGGGAATTAGAATTAATAGATTATGTAAAGAATCATAAGCCAAAGCAAGGAAAGGAGCTACAGAGACGTTAGGGGCTCGGATGATGCACTAAAGGGTTCCACGCAAGGAGTCGCTCCTGACCTTCCTTGCCTTCCCCCACGTAGTAAAGCATGACTACCAGTACTGATAACCCGCAGTATGCCCTTCGCTTTTGTTGCCATTCATCGCCGTACTAGTCGCTGACGTCTTTTAGAACCTGTCCGCGGCCCCAGGATCATCAGCATGCGGCTTATAGCGCGAGGCTCGCGGGTCAGACTCGCCAACTAGCTGGCGAGTCTGACTCGGGAGCAACGGAGGCTTCTCCGCTTCTTGGTATAGGACGATATAACGCGAAAATCTCCCGGGCTGTATACTGGATGACCGCAATCATCCTTGGCATCCTCATCTTCTCTCTCATCGCGATGCCCTTTATTGCCGTCAGCGCCGCGAGGCGCAAATACTACATAGATAGTGGCGAGATGGATCGCATCCGTGCGGGATGGGAAAAGGAGGTGGTCGAACGCGAGCACGAGCGTCTTGGTATGAGTCTCTTCTGGGATAACCCCTATACCGAGGGCTGCGTTCGCTACAAGAAGAGGCAGTATCGTGCGAGGCTCGTCAACGTGAAGGCTTGTTATGATTACCCCATAGAGGCATGCATGAGAACTCCGCTTTCAATCAACGGCGAGGAGAAAACCCCGCTAAGGTGCGAGGATAAGGTGAGCAGATCCATTGTGTGTATCTCGCCATTGGCTTTGAATGAGCGCTTCAGGGTATCGACGACCTGTATGGTATTTGGGAGGAAGATGGGGAGGGGTATTGCACGACTTCCTTCGAGCAGTTTCAGCCTATGGTGAATTTGCCTTTTTGCAGAGCGTTTTGTAAGAAACTAAAAGTGCTCGCCTACCGGAATAGGACTGCACGGCATGGGGTTCAGGACTTAAGGTGAGATAGAGTCAATTCGGATTAGAGTGTTACGAAACGCCGTATATGCCCCAGGATACTGACATGTATCAATATAATTATCAGCGCTATCGAATGACCATGGTGGGTCTCAATCCCGGGGACAACTGGAAGGACATGTGCTCCTCGACTCCTGTACGATTTGTTAACCAGGACTTTGACGGCCCTACTTACTGCGACCAGCAGGTGTGTGGATTTATGCGGGATTCAAGTACTGAGTGACTTAAATTTCTTTAGGATGGGAATAATTACGGGTATTGGGCGGTACAAGACGAGTACTGCGTAGCATACTAGATCTATCTAGTTCCAGCACCGGCTTTCCGAGTTCATTCAAATCTTCTAATCCAGCTTTCCTCACCCCCTACATCTTGTTCTCGATTCCATGTCAAAAAGTAGTGACGTATTGAAATGCTGAGTTGGCGCCTGTAAGAAGACGAGTGGTATTAATGTCTCCGTTGTCTCTCATTAAGCGGTTGCGCGAACTCCATCGGATATGAGAATGCTATTTCAAGTAACTAAAAGGAATAAAAGTACGAGTCACGTCATTTATCTTAAATCCATACTGAGGCCCGACCGTACCTCAAAGCAGCGAAACCGCTTCCATCTGGTTCGCTCGAATGGTTAATCACCGGGAAGTCTGTAATACAACTATATTACCGAGCTGAAACCGAGCTGAATTCATCGACTTTTTGATATTATCTTTTCAGGCGACCCTGATAACTTGGCGATTCACTTTGCCAGCCTTGGCTGCGACACTTTAATGACCATTTGATTGGCTGATTGAACTAGAGACCAAGCGCAGCCTTATAAGGGAACCATATACTTACCTCTATTAGTATCACACATAGTAAACATCCTCTTGGACATCCTTCCTAATTATATATCAAGACCGATTCTCCAGCGTCGGTATCAACGGTAAGAGTACCAGTTCTAGCCTGAAAAGAGTACATGAGCAATGAGCTTGCATATTTTTGTATAAATGCATGCATTATTACTACTGAGCATATGGATCAGCACCACAAATTCCCATTGTTTATAGCATGGGAAATCGATGAGGGCATATAAAAGAGTCCTGTTGTCATTCATTTTGAAGGAGGATACGGCGTTACGCGTTACGCCACTCCAACACCGCTTGTATATTTAAGGTTAGACGCCCAAGGGCATGGGGTTTCCCACAAGTTCTCGTTTGTGACCTCTTCTTCCATCTCCAGCTTCCGTGCAGAGCGAAGAATGACAAGCCCTTTCACCAGCCATGACAACGGGCGGTAGGATTTCTCATTCAAAATGGCTGTCGCGGTGCTTACCAGGCGCATACAGTACCGCCCCACCCCCGTACTCTCAGCATGCGATGTCCAGTAACAGGCACTGGCACTCGGGAACAAGGGAGGCATCACCACTCGTCCATTCAGAAAGTCTTGATAAAAGACGTCCGTCAGCAATAAGCTGTGTGGTCACGATCATTACGTTCATCATCACTATCTCCCTTTTCGCGTCGTTTATCACGGGCAGCGCAACACGGCATGATTCCTGTGTAGATGAGCACAAAGATGAGCACAAGGACGAGAGGCTCAAGATGAACTTGTTTTGGGATGGATTCTCTACCGAGGGCTGCGTGCGTTACCAGAGGAGGCAGTATCGTGCAAGGCTTATGAACATGCGGGCGGGGTACGAGTACCCCATAGAGGCCTGTATGAAGATGCCAATTCCTATCGACGGGGTGGAAAGGTTTCCTCTTAGATGCGTGGACAAGGTAAGCTGGATCGACTGTCTTTGCTTTTGGACACTCCTGAGAATGCGTTTTAGGGTATTGGTGGATTGTACGGTATATGGGAAGTAGACGGTGAAGGATACTGCGCGACTTTCTTTGAGGAGTTTCAGCCCATGGTGAGTAAATCCGACAGCACGAAGTAATGTAACTCTCATAGTGTTCTTCGTCCGCGACAGGAATGTACTGCGTGGGGTTCGGGACTGAAGGTGAGTTGCCTTGGTGCTGCACAAAGTTGTTTATAACACGATCTTCCTAACATAAAATCTCACAATCTATAGCGCTATAGAATGTACATGGCGAGGCTCAATCGTGGAGACGATTGGCGGGATATGTGCTCCTCAACACCTGCGCGGTTGCTCAATGTAACTTTTGACGGTCCGACCTACTGTGACCAGCAGGTACGTGCAATTGCACTACTATCAAAGAATGACAATGACCTGAATTCAGAACGGGAGGACCTACGGATATTGGGAGATTCCTGATAGCGACTGTGAGAAGTACTGAGGGATCCAAATGCACATCTGAATCCCTTCGGTTGATTCACAAATTAATGCTTCTGTCCAGTCCCTCATTGTTTAGTAATTTTAGTCGTATGAACGTATGGACGTCTGAAGAGTTGATGCATCTAAATTCACTTTCTGGTCTCATTTAAAGCAGATAATTCTTTTGAGCGCAAGAGCGCTGAGCGAGGTGGATCATCAGACGATGTACATCAGGAAAATGACACGCCGCTTTTTACGCACTTGTAAGGACTTATTGGCGCACAAGTGATCCGCAAGCATTGAAAAAGGAAGCATTGAAAAGTACCAACTTAAGCAGGTCTCGCCGCTTTTTGCAGCGCTTTTTGACACTTGCACGCGCTTACATCGTACTCATGAAACTGAGCTAGCCAGAAAACATACCAACACGTGTGTATTAAGTGTCCATAAGCACTAACCGGAATAGAACAATGCAAAAAAAGCGGATCTAAAAGCGCAAAAGCGCCGGTGAAGCGCCCAAAAACCGGTGCAGAAAATAATGGGAAAGCAGACAGACAGAGCGGGGAAGCGATAGAACTGAGTGGGGAGTATGCTATGTGAATTAGTAGAAATTGGAAAATGAGAAAACAGCGACTATTGCGGGAAAGACGAGAACAAAAGCCAACGGCCACGACACGCAAAGCGAGAGACAAGTATAATTGGGAGCGGAATTCAGCGCGGCTGCGGCTGCGACCCAGGATGCGATGTTTCTACATAGAATAGATTACGATTAGCACAAATACGAATGGAGAGGAAGGGAATTACAGTTCATGACCAGACAAGCCCGCGGATCGTCATTGTCAGACGTGTTGCCGTCCTCGTCGTCCTCGTCATCTTCATCGTCATCGTCATCCTCCTCCTCCTTCGACTTGGGGGCGTACGGGATTGATGCGTTGAAAGCATCCGAAAGAATGGTGACCGGGCGAGTGTTCCTGACCGAGATGCCGAACATGTCCGTAGACACCTTGCAATTGGCCTCCGAAAAGTTTGAAAGGGTCGTCGACTTCTTTCCCGTCCTCGAGTTGACCTGCTTGCGGCTGCCGGATGACGCGAGAAGGTTCTTGGCCTTGTTGACGAGGCTGCCCGATCTGCCGCTTTCGTGATGCTTTGCGAGGGTGATAAGGATGTCACTGATATCACCAAGCTTGTCCCTGGCAGCAAGCTGGCACGCGCGTTCGGCCTGTAACAGCAAGGATGTTTAGCTTCGGAATAGATTAGTAGAACAAGGCAAAAATTACCGCAGAACAGCATAAAGTCATCGCGCCTTTAGGAGCATATGGAGTGGAAAGCCTCAACTCCGGGACTTCGATAGCAGTCCTGATAGCACAGTAATGAGTCGCAAGGGTGATGAGAAAGAGCTTGCCGTGATAGGTGTGAGTGGGCTTCCCATTGATGACATCCTCGTACATGAACGCGTTCCCAGCGAGCAGGCCATTTGCGTAGGTGACGCGCTGCTGCGCTGAATCATGGTTGCCATACATACCCTGTTCGACGAAGGAGGCAACGAGAGCAGCAACAGCAGTCGACCCGAAGCTACTGCGCCATTCGTTCGCCCGCTGCTTGCACTGAAGAGACACTATAGTTAGATTATAATACGGACACTCAGGCTGAGCGCTTACGATAGCAAACGCAGCTGAGCTGAATGAGTCCTGCTCAGCCGGCAGTTCCTCACCATAGACAGCACGCCAAATGTGCCGGATGGCATCGAGGACCTTCGCATTCGTTGGGCCCCAAACACTCTTCTGGGTGCCCAACCACTTGAGGAAAGTGGAAACGAAGAGCCTTGCCCACTTGTTGTCGCTGTTGCAGTACGAAGGGAGAAGGTCCTTTTGGCGCGGTGCCTTGTTCTTGCGCTTTTTCTTCTCCTTCTGTTCTTGCGTATTGGCCGAGGGCTCAACCTCCTCGATCTTCACGCGCTTGGCTGGGCGAGATTCCAGCTGCAACTCTTTCTTCACGGGTTTGGGCGAATGGATCTCAACATCTGTCTGTGGAACTGTTAGTGACGGCTCAGGTATAAGAATTAAGGACGTTCCTTAGCAGTCGTTCGGCGGGCTTCAACAATGTCGGGCTCCGGTTGCTATGCATGTAATGAGGGCTAGCAGCATGGGAGAAAGGGGTGACTTACGGCAATGTCCTCCTCGTCAAATGTCAGTGGTTCCCATGGCCGCTGTTCCAGAGGCAAAGAGTACGAATCCCACAAATGATCATACTCGTCAACGATGACCTCGTCTTCTTTGTCAATGACCATGATCTCCGAGGTGCTACTCACACTACTCGCACTGTCCTCGGAATCACTATCATCCAATCGGCGCTTGACGGAGGTCCTCTTGGCGGGAACTGCCAGTGGAGACAACGGACGAGGACTTGCGGGGGGAGAACTGACGACCACAATCTACAGGAACATCAAAAGCTTTGACTAGGATATAGAGAAGGCAACAATGAACATACCTCGTCCACACAGGCTGCACCAGCAGGGCGCTCATCAAAACTCTCCCGCTCCCGGCGCAGATCATCCTCGTTATCATCCTCAAGCCCAGCCTCGCCTGGCTCATCGACAGGAGCAGGCTCGACGGGAGTGGGCTTGACAGGAGCGGACTTGACTGAAGCAGGCTCTTGACCATTCTTCACCCGGATTGTCGACCCAGCGAGAGTAGATGACTTGGCACTGGTAAGGGCACTCTGAATGCGGGAAGATGTAGCAGAAGTGGAGGTGGAGTTGGTAGGTCCATGGGGTTGTACTCCGCTCGACCACTTCTTGATGTTTAGCTTGAAGGAGACAGGTTCGCTGAGGAGATCGAGTACACGATTGCGATAATAAAGAGTGGATTCGGTTAGTTGAAGCAGCATAATCCAAGGCACGGTAATGGTAAACAGGAGGGTGGGAAAGACTGAACTCACAACGCTGGTGCTGAGTCATCATTCTTGCCTTTTGCGGAGTCTGCCATTGACACGCTCTCCAACCTTTGCTTGTTGACCTCATTGCGGATGACTGCCCGGTCCGCAACACTCTTCTTCACCGCTGCAACGGACTCGCCATCAACAACACTGCTGGTGAGGATGTCACCAACATGTCCAACCCAGTCTGCAACACAAGCCAAAGTAAGTCCATACGCCAATGCGGGCTTAGTCTGATAATCTAATCATACCGGCAGGAGCTTTCAACGCTCCCTTGCCTCGAGAGGGCCTCTTCGTAGTGGCATCTTGTCCGGCTGGGGTACAGAGGTGAGTGGACTAGCTACGACCATTGGTGATAAACAACTCACCATTGCTTGTGCTCTTAGTCTTTGTTGTCTTGCTGGTGGTGTCTTCGCCCTCGGTCGGCTTGCGGAGCGTCAGTCTCTTGACCTTGGTCGGTGCCTTGGTGGCATTCGAGGCCTTCAAGTTATACTCTTCTGCGACCTTGTTCTCAACCTCAGCGAGGCGACGGATGGTACGGTTCTTCTCAGCGAGTCTCTTCTCCTTCTCAGCAGCCTTCTGTTGCTTTGCCAGCGCGATCTCCTCGGAGGTCTTCCTGTCCAACGCCTTGTGAAGCTCGCCTGGGTGCTTCTTCGAGTTCGCAGCGCGGGTGGTCATTCGTTCAGTCATGGTGTTGACAGCAAAGGGATAGGTTTAGTGGTGGTGGATTCGGTGGTAGAATCAGTGGAAAGGAAACGGGACAAAAATTTCAAGGTGAGCAACAGGTAGCCAAGCCAAAATATGAGGCGACTGAGCCACATTCGGTTATGTCAGGGTCGGGTCGTTGCCAACATTCGGAACTTGGACCGGAAAAGGTACGTGTCACTCTAGAACATTCCAGGCGGTTGTCGCTGACATAGCTTTCCTTCTTTCTCTTTCCGTGGCCCAATCACTTGTATTGCAACAAAAAGTGGATTCGCCCAGCTACAGACCATCATGTCCCGAGAGCCAACACACCCACAGTTCCCGTCTGCTGAGACTGAGCTCGAAGCAGGCGGCCTCCATACATCTCAACGACGGGCTCACAGCCTTTACCGCCATCAATGCCCCATCTGTGTCCGACTGTTCAGGAACAAGTCCGGCCTTACGAAGCACATCAACAGTCAGCATGGCGGTCTCGTAGACAGCTCACCGGCATCAACTCCGCCCTCAAGCCCTCCACACGCTGACACTGAACTCGACGAAGACCTTGGCATTGAGGTTCCAGAAGCAGATGGTGGTGACGTGGGATATCCGCCAGCAAGAGTTGAGGAGTTAGATGGAGGGAAGAGGATCCGGGAGTATCATCCTACACTTACCGGTAAGCTTTCTACTATACCTCATTATCTTTGCTCAAAGCCAGCCTACAGGACAGAAGTGCGACCCGAACGGCAACTTTCTACCTGACAACGCTCTCCCGTATCCCCTACCAGCCCGCTCCCAGGACGATTGGTTCCCATTCCGCAGTCGAGTCGAATTTGAGACAGCGGATTTTCTCTATACCCGTGTCCAAGCACCAGCCGGACAAATTGACATGCTCATGGACCTTTGGGCAGCGACTCTCCGAAAGCACAACGACACACCTCCATTCGCTGACCACAATGATCTCTACAAGACCATTGACGCAATTCCTGTCGGTGATGTCCCATGGGAGTCATTCAGCATGACTTACAGAGGCCCAAGGCCAGCGCGCGACGTTCCTCCTTGGATGACAGCATCATACGAGGTTTGGTTCCGTGACCCTCATACGGTCGTCAAGAACATTCTTGCCAATCCTGACTTTGGAAAGGAGATGGATTATAGCCCGTACCGTGAGTTTGACAAGGATGGTGTTCGTCAGTGGGAGCACCTGTTTTCCGGTGACTGGGCGTGGCAGCAGGCGGTGAGCCCTTCAGTGTCTACATTACTCATAGTCTCTTATAACCTCTCTTAGGATGAGATTGCTAAAGACCCCTCTACGGATGGCTGCTGTTTTGTCCCCATCATACTCGGCAGTGATAAGACAACGGTCTCAGTGGCAACCGGCCACACCGAGTATTACCCTTTGTACCTGTCCATTGGCAACGTCCATAACAATGTTCGGCGCGCACACCGCAACGCTGTGGTACTCATTGGTTTCCTTTCAATCCCAAAGAGTAGGCCATCCGTTTTCGAGAACAGCCAGTCACTGATTAGTGTCGTAGCTAATCATAGGTACACCGGCGACCCCACGTTCCGACACTTCCGCCGACAGCTTTATCACTCGTCACTTTCTCGGATCCTTCAGTCTCTAAAGCCTGGAATGACCAGTTACGAAGTCGTCCGTTTTGGCGACGGTTACTATCGGCGTGTTATATATGGCTTAGGGCCGTATATAGCTGATTACCCTGAACAGGCATTACTAGCTTGTATCGTCCAGGGCTGGTGTCCAAAGTAAGTACCAGTCTTTTTCGTCTTGGCTTACAGCTGATTGCTCTGATAGATGTCTGGCTTTTCGTGATGACCTTGACGGTGGTGATAATCCGCCATTGCCACGTACACGCGAACATGATGAAGTCCTTACCGAGGAGTTGGATCTCGGCTCGTTATGGGATTTCTATGGTCTAATCGGGAATGTCGTCGTAAGTACTCAAATACTTCCAAAGCATATTGGTTACTGATGATTGTCTATCTAGCCATTTACGAACGACTTCCCGAGGGCAGATATCCACGAACTCATCACGCCCGACATCCTACATCAACTAATCAAAGGTACCTTCAAGGATCACCTCGTTGAATGGGTTGTCAACTACATCAGCCAAGAGCATCCGAAGGACAAGGCAAATGCAATACTTGATGACATCGACAGGAGGTGAGCATTTCTTTGTTCTCAACCATTCAATCAATACCAATTATCCCCAAGAATTGCTGCTGTCGCGCCCTTTGCTGGCTTACGTCGATTTCCAAACGGCCGCGGCTTTAAACAGTGGACCGGGGACGATTCAAAGGCGCTAATGAAGGTAATGTAATTCTATTCTTTTTTTGCTCAGTCGTCTCATTGTTCTGACACTACTTCAGGTCTACCTCCCAGCTATCGAGGGCCATGTCCCCCAGGACGTGGTGCGCGCATTTCACGCGTTCCTCGAGTTTTGCTATCTTGTCAGACGCGATGTACACACGGAGACAACACTGCGCCAGCTTGAAGACACGCTCGAGCGCTTTCACAAGTATCGTCAAATCTTCAAGACCCTTGGTGTCGTCACGTCCACATCCCTCCCTCGACAACATTCCCTCACCCACTACGTGTTCATGATCCGCCAGTTTGGGGCACCAAATGGGCTCTGTTCGTCGATAACCGAATCAAAGCATATCAAGGCTGTCAAAGAACCCTGGAGACGATCAAGTCGGTTCGAAGCACTCAAACAGATGCTATTGACGAACCAGCGGCTCGACAAGCTTGCAGCTTTTCGTGTCGAGGTGGCGGCGAGAGGAATGCTCCAGGACACGGTTCTCCCAATCGGAGCAGACGCCCTCAAGAAATGTAAGATTTACCTTATAATTATTTGCAACTCTTCTCACGCTCTCCTACAGACGGCGGGTTGTTTCATACAGCCCCCCCTGCTGGCGCGGCCCCCTTCGTCCGGGTCCGAGGTATGCTTGGAGGCAGTGTAGAGGATGAGAGGGTCCATACAACTGATAGGCAAATTGAGGCAAAGGTACGGTTGGCCCATACCAAAGGTACGTCTTTTATCAGTTCTTGACGAAGATTGTGTCCCTCATTGATGTCTTTCTTAGCACGTAAGCGCGCACACACTATTCCTGAGCTTGCTCAGGAACTCGAGCTCCCCGATTTTGATCTCATATACCAAATCCGTTGCTTCCTTTACAATGAAGCCTTGCCGTCGTCTCGGCGTGGTACAGAGGACCTCTCGCTCATCCCTCTTTCCCAGCTCCCTCGGTTCAACTCTACAACCCGCATATTCATGTATAACTCAGCCATTGCAACGTTTCGAGCCCCCAGCGACCTGTCTGGACTACATGGGATGCGCCACGAGCGAATTCGGTCAACACCCATGTGGAGAAGCGAGGCGCCACGTTGCGACTGCGCGTTTGTCTCAGCTAACAAGGAGGTTGCAGGGATGCTTGGCATGGAGGTCGTCCGTGTACTAGCCTTCTTCTCGTTTGATTACAATGGCAGCCAGCACTCATGTGCTCTAGTCCACTGGTTCTCTCGTATGCGGGATGAACGAGACCCAGACACCGGTATGTACTTGGTAAGCCCTGACTGGAATGATGATGATTCTCGGTCACTTGCTATTATCCCTGTTAGTTCGCTCGTTCGGGCCGCTCATCTTATACCTTACTATGGACCTCAGTTCGTGCCGGAGGCTCTGAAGCACTACCACTCATATGACAAGTTTTATGTATTCTATGTTAATCGCTACGCTGACCATCATGCATTCGAGATAGCCTAGATCACACGTACGCACTTTTAGTCATTCGGATACTAGACTCCGAGATTTCCCATATTACTAATTGAATGTTTCGGAATGAGTTGCTATAAGCGACAGTCATGAAAGTTTCCGCAGCCTTCCGGGCGTCTTCGCCATCCCTTTCACTGACCACTACCATTGTTTTACCATCGCCTCGCCCTCTTGGCCACCCAGCGTAAGGGCGGGGGGACAAAGCTGCTACAGGTCCAGCCATGCGCGTTGCATGGGCCCAACTGAGGGGCCTGTCGGTAGCAGCTGGACCGAGCACCCGATCACCCTGCCCTCTCTCTCGCCCGCCAGCTCCGTCAACACTGCGCCCGACACCAGCGCGTCCTGCAGCCCATTCAGCTCAAGGCCAGCTTCTGACGCAGAAGATACCACCGTTGCCCGTACGCCCACCGCGTCTTGCGTGTCCCCGCCTCCAGGTGCATTGCCGTGTAAGACTGGTATTTGCAACAAATGGAGAAGCACGGCATGGTGGCAAGGGAGTGAACCGTGGAGGATGGGCTGCGTATGTTGCATCCTATGGTGCGTTTCTTCTTTCCCTTTCGGAGCTTCTAGGCAAGCACTCATACACTTACACAGTTCATATCTAGACAGTGGGACCCTCATGGGCTCATTTTTCACGAGCAATGCTTCACATACACGCACGTTAGCTTGTTCAAATGTTTTTACCATTTTCACCTCGCCTATCTCCTCTTTCTTTTAGTCTTAAATACTTTGTTTTTATCGGTTTGTAATATGGACTTGTCCTATCCAGTCACCTTTACTTGATTTTCTTGTCTGAACGCTTTTTTGCGCTTATTAACCCTTATTTATGCCTTGTGAAAATCAACAGTGCATGACGACTCCGTGTGCTTTTTTTGCAATCAGCTTCGAAAACTAAGTCTCAGATGAGTTTCATTAAGTGTTCGAAAAGCGACAAAAAGTAAATTAGGCCCTAAACAAGCGGCGTGTTAATTTCCTGATGTAAGGACCACTCAGGGGCTTGGCGTTGATTCAGGGCAGGTGTGCGCGCGCTTGCATGCCGAACGCGATGCTGGATCTTCTCGCCGTGGACCTCCCTGACTTTGACCGTATCTTCCGTATTCTCTTGCTTCTCCCCGCAACCCACTAGTCGCCAAGTCTACGCAAGCCAGCCGCAGCCAAAACTGTACTTTAGTAATGCCGACGCGCCGCGTGCCGCCCCAACAAGGGAAAGCCGCCCTGTAGTGCACAGCCAAATAGAGCGCCTGAACGTCCCTACATAATATGACGTGAGAAGGGTGCCTTGCCCTCCCCACTCCTCCCCGTTGTGCGTACACAGCACGTCGAGGCTAACCTGAAGTGTTTCATTGACCACCACCGTACAGTAGGGCAACCACATAGGAGGTCATCTTGAAAGCAGACGGTCGTGATCTCTCAAGTCCCTCCTATTACAACATGCAACATAATCAAGGGAATCGAGGGTAAGCATGGTCGCTCTCAACAACTTCATTAGCCATGACGTTCTCGACACCTCCTAGCGCACCCCCACCGCCCTACTCGGCGATGCCACCCACAGGCACAAGCCGCTCCCCCAGACCGAACACAAACCCACGCTACCAGCGACATCAGCACTCCCAGCGTCCTCAGGGCCCACCGCAGGGTCATCGTTCAGTCGACGTTCGACCACACGTCTCAATTCATAACAACATACGCATCCGGGAGTCCGAGCCACTCCTGCCACACCGGTCTGCCCAGCACGAACGGCACCTCCGTGGGAACGCGCAGTCCACGATCCGGTGTTGGCTGTGGCTGCTCGTCCTCGTCCTCGTGGCAAGCGTCGTTGCGGGGCCTGTTATCACCGCGAAGGCCTCAAGAAGCGAAAACTGTCTGCTTGGACGCGAGATGGAGCGCATCCGAGAGCAGTGGGCGATCGAGAAGCGGCAACACCAGGATATGGTTGAGCGAAGTCGCGCCGAGTGGGACAGGGAGAGGCTGGAACATGATGCGGAGGCGGCGGAGCGCGAGGAGGTGAAGAGACGATGGCAATGGGAAGATGCGGCGCATGCTGCCAAGCTGGAGCGGTGGAGACGGGAGGAGGAGGAGCGGCAGAGGATCGAGTTTTTCTGGAAGGACTTTGCGCCTTCGCGTTGTGTGCGCCATGGGACACGGGAGTACACGGCGAAGCTGGCGAACGTCCCGCGCGACTTCGCTCATAGCATTGAGGTATGCAGAGACACTGAGATGAGTGTCAATGGAGAGATGAAACGGCCTACTCGGTGCCAGGACAGGGTCAGTTTTTTTGGTCTAGCTTTCAGGCCGTGATTTGACGTGCGCTTAGGGAGGAGAGAATGTAGAAGGAATATGGGAGGAGGCAGGAGAGGCGATATGTGGGACATACTTCAACTGGTTCAAAGACAAAGTGCGTTACACCATCTTCCCTTAACTTTTTCGGCACCCTGAGTTGGTTTGTCAGGGATGCACGGCAAATTCATCAGGACTTCGGGTACGTTTTCACGATACCCAGCTGTCGTTGATGCCAAGCTCTATACCTTAGCGATACGAGATGTTTCTGGAGAATCTAAAGCCCGAAGACGACTGGCAGGCAATGTGTTCCAGCACCCCGGCCAGTTTCCTGGGAAAGGAGTTCGCTCATCCTCATCATTGTGTTCGATGGGCTAGTTGAACAATATTGCGCTACTCTTTCATTGACTGATCACTCCTTTTTGCAGGGCACAGGAACTTACGGACTTTGGGATATCAAAGACGGATCGTGTTTGTAGGGTTCTTCGGGAATGGCAGGAGCGGTGTTCACGGTCATGCCAGCGCAGCCACCCGTTCCCTGCTTCTCCCGTCCCCGTCCCCATGTCTGGTTTTCTCTATATGGTCGCGACTAACGGAAAAAAGTTATCATTACTGTACGTTAACACTGCCTTGTGGCGTCCACTTGGTGTATTCGGCATACATCGCCATTCATACATCGGCTGAACTTGGACTACTATATTAGTTTTGATCGATGCATGAATGGCGAGGTTTTACGATGGCAGTGGCCTCGCTCGGTACATCAGAGTAAGAAACAGTAACCTGTAAGTCACTTCTGGAATGTCTAAACGTGTACAAGAAGTGTGTCAGTATCATGACGCGGTACAAGGCTGCTACGAGACGTTTGCTTCGTGGGGCGTGTTCTAGAAAGACGCAAACACAGGAATTCGAGCGCTTATTGGGCCTATAAAGGTATACACGACTGTGGGAACACTCCTTTCTTCCCCTCCGTGTTGCTCCCTCGCTCAAGGGTGCCTAGGTTTGCTCGTTAACATATTTCTCCAGTATCGTTCCCCTCCGCGACTTCCCCAACGCTCACTTACGACCGACGGGCTAACATGAACTGGACCTCAGGGCGAAATGGGTAAGTAGGCGACGTCAAGGCCGTTATCAACTAGAAGTGCTAACTAAATGCTGCAAACCAGCACGCCACCTCCGCATTACCAATCTACAGTGGACACCGCCGCCGACCACCACACAGAACCATGGCTCAACCACGAGAGAGAGCCTCTCTTACCTCCACGAGATGATCAGAACGATCAACGCTCTCGGGGTAAAAGGAGTTTCTCACTCAAAGGGCTCGCGCTATGCGCCATCGTCTCCGTCCTCATAGCCGGCAACATTGCGGGTCCCATCATCATCTTCAAGAGTGCGAAACTCGACACATGTCCGGAAGCAGAGGCAATGGATCGGCTCCGCGGCAAATGGACGCTCGAGGAGCGCTTGCATAACGTCACTGTGGAAGAGCGACAGCAACTCTACGAACTTTGGCGGGTAGAGGACGCCACGCATACAGCAAAGATCAACTTCTGGGCCGAAGAGGACCTCGAGCGGGAGGAAATCCGCAAGGAGTGGCATCTAGAGGTCATCGAGCACGAGCGTAAGGAGCACGAGCGTGAAGAGGTCCGGAAGGAGTGGCAGTGTGAGGCGGTTGAGCACGAGCGCTTTGAACGGGAGCGCCAGCAGCGAGAGGCGCGGGAGCACGAAGAGGCTCGGCAAAAGTGGGAACGGGAGGTCATCGAGCATGAATGTGAGGAACGCGAGAGGCGGAAGAGGGAGTGGGAGGAACGCCAGAAGATGGGGTTCTTCTGGATGGATATCGAGGCGACGCACTGTGTGCGCTATGGGACACGCAAGTATACTGCACGTCTTGCGAATGTGCCCGATGGGTTTGAGCCACGGGTGGAGGCGTGCGAGGAGACTGAGTTGAGTATCAATGGGAAGGTGAAGGGGCCGACGCGCTGTGAAGATAGGGTATGTCACATCATCCATCACAACAACGCTCATCTAATGTCCCCGAAGGTTGGTCTAGGTGTGTACGGTATCTGGGAGGTGGAAGGAGACGCTGCATGCAGCACGTGGTTCAACTGGTTTACGGACAATGTGAGTTCGTTGCTGCCTCCTTAAGGCGTCTATGAGCTCACTGAAACAATGATGGAAAGGGTTGCACGGCTCCGAGCTCGGGCTTGCGGGTAAGTGGTCGTGCTGCTGTATCGCTGAAGGAAATATAAAAACTCACTATTACATCAGAAATATTCAATGTATATGGAGGACCTTCGTCAAGGAGATGATTGGGAGGTCATGTGCAGTAGCACACCGGTCACTTTCAACGAAATGTACTTTGCTCATCCCGACACTTGCTACCAACGAGTACGAAAGATTCCTTTTGTCGTCATAATCCCCCTAACTAACTTTCGTGATCACAGAACGCAGGAACATATGGTGTCTGGAACGTCAGAGACACATCCTGTTGGTGAAAGACAGCCCGGAGTCCACCGTAATTGACGGTTCCATCTCCCTTGCTTGCTTTTTCCACTGTCGTCTTAATGTCTTGTCATGAAGCCTGAAGGTTGGTCAATTACTCTTGCGTACGTGTAGGATACGTTGTTGTATATCATTGTTATGTAGTGCATTTTTTATGATCCCGATGTCAATCTTAGCTGCGTACTTCATAGCAGCCGTGCATCTCGAGTTATGGGCCGCGTACCACGACTCGGAGATTGACGGTTAGCTCAACTGTATCGGCCGGACCAGCACTTTTCGCCGACCGCTTACTTGATGGAGTTTACCTCTACTACCCAACTCGAATGGACGTCAGAACTCGAACCCGTGATGATGCAAGTCTATAAAAAAGTGCCCGTACGCAGCAAGCTCAAACGCTTACCGAGTAAATAATGGACGGATGGTGGTGTTCACAAGGAAACTCCGCCGGATTCTACTCATGCAATCAGCGGTTCTACTTATTTCTATTGGTTTGTATTAGAAGACGGACGACCTCCAGAAAGGACGCGTGAGCTTTAATTCAGAGCAGGAAGAGTGTCCAAACTTTGTTAGCATTCATCATCGGTCTTGGGTGATGGTGAATGGAACACAGTACCACCTTCAAATATACACGCCATAGATTGCGTTGGAATCGCGCTGCTCTGGCTACATGAGTAAGAAGTAAGACGCAGAAGTGTGGGTGCGGGAAATTTTCGAAAGTGCCAGAAAGGCTGCAGGAAGAGAGCGTTTGACATACACATCCGGGTTTGAACATCATTCAGCGATAAGGCCAAGGCACCAATGGTGGGTTCTTGTCGCGGGTATCACTGTCACTAGGACCATTATTAACATTACCCACACCGCAGTAGACGACAGAACAAATACAACGACAAAGGTGTTATAATAGGGAGCAGATCGGGATTTAGGATAGATAAAGATAGGTCAGTACATATGGCAGGCGAACTTGAAGCGAAGTAGGCGATGCTGTGAAGACTCACTCGCGATACAAGGATAATATGCGCCACACAGGCAGAGTCGGCAGCGGCCATTATACCTTACGAGTGTGCCTTTCTTCTCGTGAACTTTCCCATCGAACTAATAAAAAGTATGAGTCTTTGATCGGATGTGCATGACCTTACAATGACCTTGATATTGCAACGAAATGGTGACCTAATCATTTACGACACAGACATGATCCGCGGGGCCTAAGAGTTGTCTTTCATCCTCATACGGAGCTCGATAAGCGAAACGATTACGCCCTTGTCCTTACGTACCGTTCGCCTCCCACTGAAGTCCATTGTCAACATGAGGATATTGATGTAGGTGCACGGTCTTATGGTTCCGTCCGCCCTCGTAGGGTTAGCATTCTCGTGTGCGACGTTTGTATACATATTCGCACTACTAATTACTGCATAAGTAAACCTTGAAGTGAACCCAGCAAATAAGTGGTCAAGAAAGGGAATGCGAGAGCCCTTCTAATGGAATGAATGACGCTAGCTCATGCGCATTGCGTCGATGCGACGCCCTCGACAAGCTCAACGCTGCGACGGCAAATCTCTTCTACATGCCACCGTTCGCCACGCGAATGCTTTAGGTCGAGGACGTCTCCAACCTCGTCGCACGCCCGCAGTACTATGTCAATATCCTCCTTTGTGTGTGCAGCGCTGACGCAGAATCGTGCACGACATTTTAGAAGTGGCGTGGCAGGGTAGGTCACGACGACAACGACAACGGGGGTTGAGCGAGTTCGCATCATCCGCACAAACGTAGACATCTTTCCAAAGTTGAAGATAAGCAGGGGCACAATCGGGGAAAAGGGGTGGCCGTAAGTGACGAAGCCTAGCTTTGACAGGCCAGCGTGAAGGTAGCGTGAGTTAAACGCGAGGCGAAGCAGGCGTGTACGGCCTTCCGAACCGTCATACAGGCTAGGAGGGAGTCGAAGCCAAGAGGGAAGGGCAACTGGAGAGATAGCGCCGGGATGAATGACAGAACTAGATGGAGCGGCCAATTCACTAGATGCAGAGTGGGACGAGTTGGGAGGAACCACCCCCATGATGCTTGCCATGCTTGCCATGATCTGGGATAGGACGGGCGGGGTCATTGACTCCGCATACGGGCCGCTCTGCCCACGGAGGCGAAGGGAGTCGATGAGGGACTTCGGGCCAGCAATGTAACCGCCAGCAGCGCCGAAGGATTTAGTGAATGTACCCATGAGGACGTCAATGTCGTGGGGGTTGATGTTGAAGTAATCACACACACCACGACCATGAGGACCGAGGGCGCCGATGGAGTGGGCTTCGTCGACGAAGAGATAGAACTTGACAAATAGGTCAAATGGATGCTCACGCGCAGAATGCAATGCTGTACGTACTTTGTATCTTTTCTTGAGCTCGATGATCGCAGGCAAGTTCACCAACGTCCCCTCCATCGAATATAGGCCTTCGGCAATAACCAGAATCTTCCTCCACGGCCGATGTGTCCGGGGCTGGCCTTGACTGATAACATCGCGCAAGAGACTATCGAGGTTCTCCACGTCGTTGTGCTTAAACATTCTGACTTGTGCGCCGCTCTGGCGTACACCCGTACGGATAGACGCGTGATTGAGCTCATCTGAGATTACCAGGCATCCCTTGCTAACCAAGGCGGGTATGAAAGTTGAATTGGTGGCAAACCCCATGGAACTGATGAGTGCGTCCTCTGTTCCGGCGAACTTAGCGACGAGTGCTTCCGCCATGGTGTGCAGGTCGCTCGATCCACCTGCGAGGCGCGAACCACAGGTGGAGACACCGTACAGGTTAATGGATTCCTCAACAGCGTCAGCGCACCCTCCATGCGTCTGGGAAAACCCGAGGTAGTTATACGAGGACATGTTGAGCGCACGTGTCTTAGTGCCGGTGTAAATCTGCGTCCAGTTATTGTCGTTCGAGTACCGATCCAGCATGAGAATGGTGCGACCTGCGACGCCAGTGACGGGCGGAGCGACGCAGTCGCCTACACGAGCTTTTAGACGACTGATAGATGAATCGAAGCCCGAGTTGAGCGGTGCATAACCCTATTGGTAGATGTTTGTCAGGTTACTAACATGAGAGGGAGGCTGGCGAGTCATAAATGCGATATTAAACATACGTTGAGGGGCATGATATGAGTGAAATGTCTCTTCGCGAAATACTTGCCCAAGAAATCTCTCAGGTACCCAAAGCACAGGAGAATGAGATAACTGAAATAGGCCGTGATGAGGATATAGTACGGAGGTTCCTCGATCTTCTTCGCCTTCACAGGGTTTGCGTAACTGTGTTGAGAAACACAGCGATAACTCTGGTTGGTGCAATGCCCAAACTCGCTGTGCTCAGTGACAAATACCTGATCAGAGGTGAGCGTGGTCCAGGGACAAGGTACACATCCATCTCCGCCAAGTTTTCCGCTGACTTTAGGATTCTTACCCGAAGCCCCCACCGCGAGGGACGTTTCGGAGAGGGAGAGATCAGGGTTGGGTGGGGCACTGGGCGGGATCATGGGAGGAAACAACAAGGAACGATTGTTTGCGTGTGCGCGGCCTTAAGTGCTGTTCCGCGTAGACAGGCATGTAGACCGTCGCTTGTGAGGAGGCACTTGTTTCGGGAAAGCGTCACTGCAGATGAAGAAGACCTAAGCGATCCTGACGATGGTGACAGCGTGGAGAGTTTGGCCTTGCTTATCTGGTTGAGGAACGATTCATCCACCTTCAATTCGAGTTCTCGGCGCTTACTGTCAAAGTACTGGATACACAAGAACTCCATGCCCGCTTCCGAAAACAAAATTAAATGAGGTGCCGATGAGGTGAGCATATGGATGTACTCTTCCCAGATTCGGAGACTTTGATCGGGGACCTGTGACGATTCAATGAGCCGGATTGCCCAGCGAGCGAATAAGCCAAAACGGTGTTTACAAGATTAACTAGGTTCCTAGTTGTGATAGACAGGTTTCGGCGATGTCGGCGAGCGTTTGGCCTGCGATGCTCATCTGAGTGTTATGACAGTTAGGCTCCCGAACGTGATAGAATACTACTGATACCTTGTTGGTTATACGTACGCGCAATTGCCCATGGTGCATTTTGTCCTCAGCCAAGCCTTCCAGCAAACTCTGACATGCAGTAGCAGGGTGAGCCACTTCTGTCTTGTTACAACTTGAACTGACACATATAAATTACAGGGTTTCCTGAGAAAGCCACCTTTGAATCATCGCCAGAGCCTCCTTAGGCTTGTCATACGGAACCTTAAGCACCTCGGATAAGCACCGGTAGATCCGAAAATTCAACCAAACGTACCATATGACCAGCCCCATAGATCGTCGCAAACGTCAACCCATGCGCGCCCCTCGTCCTCCCCGCTACCTCGCCGTCAACCTCCCATTCCTTCAGCGGCTGCGTGCTGAATGCGTCGTGCCCCGTCCACTCGAGATCGAGCGTCCACCGCTGGTTGCCGAGCCAGTTACACTTCCAGTCGTTCACGCCCGCGTATATCAGGGTGTGCACGCCGCGCTCGAGCAGCTGCGCGACGTGCTCTGACGTCGGGTGTAGCTTGTCCGAGTGCGCCGAGAACGCCGACCCGACTGTGTTGGAGCATGAGGTGAAGTTGAGCGTGGAGAGGGAAGGGTCCACGCCCAGTGCTGTGCGGACCGAAGGGAGGTCGAGGTATTCGGTGATGTGCCTGAGGTTCAGGGCGTTGGATTTAGTCGAGTGATATGGAGTATAGGACGTACTTGGTTATGGGGTAACAAAGTGTGGCGCCAATACCACCTTCGCAGTCCTTGCTGATATCGTAAGGATTACGGCCTGTCGCAGAAGTAAGGTGTCAGATTGACTAGATGCAGCAGCTAATGGGCTAACTACCTGTCTCGTAGAAAGGGGCCTCTATCGCGCTGTAGCAGAAGTCACGGGCGGCATTGCAGCTGATGTCATCGAATGAGTCGATACAGGAAGCCTGAGTCCATCGATGGCACCGCGGAAGCTGGGAATCACGTTACGAGACGAATCACGGAATGAACGCCAAGAAGGACTTACAGCCTCCTTCATGCTTACGCATGCCCTGTGTGAATGGAATCAGGCGGTTTCCGGCAATCAGAATATTTTACAACTCTTACCCGACACTTGCAATAGGGAAAGTCGACGCGTTTGCACATACCATGTCGATGTACGCGGGCCATAGTTTGTAGTAGTCCGTAACACCATTGCCTGTAACGCACTTGAGTATGAAGAACGGGCTCCAATAAAATGCAGATGCCGCGACAAACCTATAATGATAGACCCGAGATTGATCGGAGTCATACCCGCTGCCACGAGCGCCGCATTTTGGTCGTACACCTCAGCAGCGAACATAGGTATGTATTTTCCCTGTGAAAGCAGCCAGTGAGATTATCGGAGTACAAGAGGTAAAATTTCGTACGCCGTAAGACTCGCCAGCCATGTGGAACGCCCGACCCTTGAACTGGCTGAAGTTCTCGAAGAAGATGGCAATGAATGCAGCTATGTCTCGAGAGGCTTCGTCGGTAGTGCTCTACAAATGCGCATATCATCGCACACATAGCCAATGCGAGTAATTAGAGAGAGAAATGAACTGATTCGGGGCAAACACACACCACAGACTCGCCGTAATCAGCATACGAGAACCCGACGCCGACAGGCTGATCGATGAAGAACACATTCGCATTCTCATTCCATGAATACGGGTTGTACGTTGGTCCATCTGGGGTAAGAACTCTGCAGGGTCCGAGCTCCATAAAGAGACCCGTGCTAGAGGAGCAGCCGGGTCCTTGGCGCATATAGTCAGCAGCACCCTCTAAAAGTGGGGGCATATAGAGGAAGGAAGTACGCACCACCGTTGATCCACATGATCACATCATCCGTCGTAGGATCGTTTCGACTCTCGAAGAAGTAAAAGAAGAGGTGGCGAACTTCGACGTCGATGTAGCCCGTGTATGCGCTGGCGTAGTAAGTAGTATGAGCAGGTATCAGTAGCGCGTATAAGGCGGGAGAAACGCACTTTACGCCTCCGTCACAAAAGTTGGACTTCTTGATGCGCACGCTATGGTTTGGGAACGCTGGATGCCCCAGAGTGCTGAACTCATGGTGCGTGAGCGTGTCGAGGTGCTCAAAGGGCGTGAAGAGGCCATCGTCGTAGGACGCGAATGGAACCTGATAGGATGCACTTGCCGCTGTGCCAATGAAAAAGGAGAAAAAGAGGGCGGCCAACCGCCCCAGTGCGCAGAACATGGTGGTCAAGAGGAAAGGTTCCGTCGGACGCCAGGGCGGGTGCACATGTGAGTCTCCAGAGACTGGAATAGCCCCTGAGTCTACGATAAGGTGCCCTCGGACCGATACAGCCGCTCTGGCTCTGACGGAGCGCAACTGAAATGGAGGCTAGTCAACTCAGCCAAATATTGTAGTATTGGTGCAGGACTGAAAATATACAGCGCAAGAGCCTCCAGGGATCACCGCCTTCTATCCCTCGAAACATAGTCATCCCGCCTGTCCTTCCTCCGGTCGTCGTAGTCCCTCTTGTCGCTTCTCCTGTCATCATAGTCCTTTCCGTCTCTTCGTCGATCATCGTAGTCGCGCTCCTTGCGCGAGCTTCTGTCATCGTAGCCCCGATCCCGGCCCCCCTCACGCTTGTCATCCTCGCGATACCGCCTCGGCGGTGACCTCGACGCCTTCCTCGACGCCGTGCCCGACCGACTCCCGCTCCCCCCGTCCCGCTCTGACTCGCGTCTTACGACAGGCACGTACTTCTTCGGATCGTTCCGGCGCTTCTTCTCCCCCTTCTTCGACCCATCGTCGTACACCTCCTGTTCCTTTGCGCCGATGCCCAGGAGCGCGGGGCGCGCGTTGGGAAGATATGGCTCTGGGAGCCCCTTGCGAGTGCGGGAGACGGATTCACCCTCTTTCCAGCCCATACCACGCAGGAGGGCCGCGCCGAACGCTTCGACGGGCACGCGGGCGTAGTCTGCCGCGGTGGCTGACTCGGGGAGGGCGCTCACGTCCTGGTCGAACGCGTCGTCCTCGGTGAGCTGGGGAGTGATGATGTCGAGCGCCTGCGAGGTACCATCCTCGCCCGCGAGCAGAACGCGAAGCGCTTTCTCGTCCTCGGTTTCTTCTTTGACTGCTGAGGGAACGGCTTCTATCTTGGTGGTCTTTTCCTCGACGACATCCATGTCGTTGGAGTGGTGCTCGACCTTGACACGCTTGGTGACTCGCTGAATGCCGGAGAGCTGAGGACCCGAGTTGATACTGTCGCGCGTGCCGAGGCCGCCGACGCTGCCATCCGCACCTGTGCCTGCGCGTCCCGCCTCCGGAACAAAGGACTTGTGAGAGCGACGCTTGCGTGCTAGGTCGCGCCAATCCGGGTTCGCGGCTGAAGGAATGACAAGGGGCGCCTGTTTGCCCTTTTTGTCCTTTGCCCTGTGTAGTGATTTAGACGGTGAAAATGGGAGGGAGGGAGAAACTGCTGTGAGCTGCGGACCCCGATCTGTAAAAGTGTATAAAAGTACGCACCGCTGGACAGCGACTCTATCAAACTCGGTGACGAGCTCGACCTGTTCCTTATCCTCCTCCTCGCTCGAGTCGTAGTACTCGTCTCCGTCCCTCCTCACCGGTATACTCTCCAAATCGTTCTCAGGTGACGCATCGCGTGAGCTGAAGGTTCGTGGGGAGCCAGCGAGAGGACTGCCTGGTGTAGACGCCCCGTTGGCCTTGCCATTTGTGAGATGGCGCGGGAGCGAGGGCACTCGGAAGTTGAGTCCTGCCGGCGCGTCCGAGTCGCCACCTGTTGAGGTGGCTCTGGAGGAAGGGGTCGGGCGACGTATGGTAAATGAAACCTTCTCTGTCTGCGACATCGTCGTTTCGTCTGTAAATATTGGGTGTAGCGGTAGGGAAGTTGACGACGTCGAGAGAGTGGGGGTGTGGAGAGAAAGAGGCCTACTCACGGGGTCCTGCTATGTGCGCCTCAGACAGGCACCCGACTCGGGGTCTCGGTGGGACCACGCCTTGGTCAGCCCGCGGCACTTCGGAACTTCCTTTTACAGATCACAGTCGTCCCCTCTCCGTTCTCTCCGAGTCTCCATTGACGTCGACGATGGCAGCAACGCGCTCAGCTTCACTCGCATGCCTCAGGGCTCTCTCACCACGCACAGCACCACAGCGCGGCATGTGCACCCGTAGGGTCTTTGCCTCGCATTTTCATTACCCTCTCGAGTCCGCGTCGACGAGGCTCTCCTCTCTAGTCCACCCGCAACCTAGTGTACATTTCGCTCGAAGGTGGTTTGCATCCCAGCCAGGTGGCGACCCCCCGAAAGCGGTCACTGTCTGTGTCAGACAGCCGACAGAAGCAGACCTGGAAGAAGCAGAACTCGATGCCGAGCTTATCCCCCCAGAACATGCTCATATCGAGCTTACCGATCGAGCCGCGGAGGTAAGTGGCATTCCTGCCTGTATAGTTCTTTGTCTCTGTTTTTTCAACGTGTAACTGACCTTGATGTCAATGGTTGTATAGCAACTGAAAGCTATCGCGGTGCGCCAGCATAATGACGCTGCTGCGCTACGGATAGCTGTTGAATCGGGCGGATGTCACGGGTACCAGTACAAGCTCGAGCTCGCAAAGGAGCGTGCACCGGAGGACTAGTAAGTCTATTTATGTTGCTTTCGCATGCTTGCTTTACCCAATCGTTCTACCAGCCACTTCGTCCACCCGACAATATCACCCTCAAATCTATACGTCGACGCTGTCTCGCTCTCACTCATGAAAGGCTCTACGATCGATTTCGCGACCGAGCTCATCGGGAGTAGTTTCAGAATACTGGATAACCCGCAGTCTAAGGGCTCGGGATGTGGCTGCGGAGTCAGCTGGGAGTTGAAGGACTTGGAGGGCTTGAAGTCATAGTGACGATCTAGGTTAGTTGTCACCTGTCGCAGAGCGCCTCCCAGCTTTCTGAAGCGTGTCGTGCAGATTAGATTTTGTATAGTATATCGCTCCGGACACAGACAATGATTTAACACACTCCTCGATCACCCGTCCTACGTTTCGTCTTGTTGCGTTCCTATTCCGATTCTAGGATAATGCTGCGATCCCGTAGACATCCGATACTTGCTGGTTTGCACCTTTGTCTCAGATTCAAAGAACGGAATGTATCGGAACGCGTCTCTCCGAAGCATGGATATTTGTCGTGCGTCCCAAGAGATCGAAGAAACCGGCCAGCAACATGGCGTCAGTTTCTTCCATCTCCGACCCCCATACCTCCAGGTTCAGATGCCCGCCGTCCTCTCACAGTATGTAGCGCGAGTTCACTTTACATTTATTGACCCCCTTCCGATATAACCGAATCAATAGGCCACCGACACACTGGAGCCATTGACTCTGATGGGATCCCATTCTGAGAGTCTGGTTATCAACCTTTGACGTGCATCATAGCCCGAGCTGACATAATTCCATGCGTGAGTAGAGGAGAAATTGCGGCGATAGAGCCCGATCGCCCATTGACTGTCATATGTCTAGGTTTTGAGTGACGGAGGGCCAAGGCTACGTATGTTTTGTATAGACCTGCCCCGCACAAGTGTTTCATCTGGCCGGTTAGGAAAAGGTTCTTCCTAGGAGTACACCGAGAGTGCCGCTTTCTGCCTGAGAGCGCCGGCCGTACGGCTTGGATGGTTTATAGATGCACAGTTCTTTGCCGAGGAGCTGAGAAGAGCAGCCTGAGATTGTATTGAGACGAAAATACAACCCACAAAGCTGGCTCCCCGGCCCTTCGAATCACAGATAGACTTGCAGAAGCCCAGTTGTGTGCGTTCGGCTTGAACCATACCCTCCCGGTCACTCGTAGGCAGAGCACGAAACCTCCTGACAGTGAATATGCCGGACATGGCTGATACTTGACACTCTCATATTCCCGCCATGACGTGACACGGCCGGAGATTGAGCGTTGCCCTTCTCTTCATCTCCTCTCCGTACAATCACGGATCTCCATTCGCAGCCTATCGTAGCGTACGAACGGGGCCGAACACGGCCAATAGGCTGTGTACGGCATCCTACGAGACCAATCGCGATGGCCAAGGCGGGACAAGGGGGCGAACACTGGGATACAGGCAGCGGGATAAGCTCCGCACTTGCCAATCCCAGCGAGACTGGGCCAGATGATGCCCTCCTTGGTCTGACAACCGGAAGTCGCGGAGGCCCTCGCTCTGGGCGGTATATTATGACACAATCACGCCCGCACCCCGCACCTGTATACATCTGATCTCCCTCCTGTACGCTTCTCCCCAGACTTCCCGCTCCTGCCCCTTCTCTACCTTCCTCTTCTCGACGAAGCCACATCCAGATCCAGGGATGGCCCAGCCAGCAACGACGTTCGAATCCAACCCCAAGCCTGCACGCACCTTCGCAGAGCAGGACAAGCTGCCCAAGCTCCCGATACCGCCCCTCGAAGACACGTGCCGCCGATACCTTACCGCGCTCCGCGGGCTGCAGGACGACCAGGAGCACGAGAACACGCGGCGCGCTGTCGAGGCGTTCCTCGCCGAGGGCGGGGACGGTCAAAGGCTGCAGGAGAAGCTGCAGAAGTGGGCGGAGGACAAGGCCAGGTGAGTGTGGAGCACTTGATGATAGCTTGCGCTCTGGCTGACGATGAGATTTGGATCTAGTTACATCGAGGACTTCTGGTAGGTGGTGATCTTGCTTCTTCTCAAGGGCGTCTCTCAGCGGCGCATACATCCAGGTACGAATCATACCTGTCGCACAGCGACCCTGTCGTGCTCGCCCTCAACCCCTTCTTCGTCCTCGAGTGAGTGTATGCGCCTTCTTTCCTCATGTTGTAGGTCTAATGAGCTTCCCCTGCAGAAACGACCCAACCCCAGATCGTGGCTCGCAGCTCGGTCGGGCCGCCTCGTTGATCTTGTCGTCTCTGGGATTCGTGCACGACCTCCGCGCAGGCATCCTCGACCCAGATACCGTTCGCGGAACGCCTCTGGACATGGACCAGTATACCCGTTTGTTCGGAACGGCGCGGATACCCACTGAAGTGAGTGCTGCTTTGGCGGTCTAGGGTGATTTTAACGCAACCTCCTTCCTTCAGCGGGGGTGCAAGATGATTACCAACGACAACGCACGGCACATCGTTGTCATGCGTCACGGCCAGATGTGTACGCTCCATCATGTTGGCTTGCATCCAATCATAGTATCTCACCCCATGATTACTGATAGATTGGTTCGACGTCATGGACACCGAGAACCGGCCCCTCCTCACAGAGCGCGAAGTCCTGCGCAACCTGCAAGCCATCGTCAAGGATGCTGACAAGACACCCACCAAGGAGGTCGCACGCAACGCCATCGGCGTGCTGTCGACCGAGAACCGAAAGACGTGGTCCCGCCTCCGGTCTAATCTGTCGAAAGACCGTACGAACGCGTCCTGTCTGCAGCTGATTGATGACGCGCTATTCATTGTCTGCTTGGATGACGCAACCCCGAAGGATCTTGCGGATCTATGCGCCAACTTCTTGTGCGGGACGTATGATCTGCAGGACGGGGTGCAGGTTGGGACGTGCACGAATCGATGGTATGATAAGGTGGGTCCAGTATAGGAGAGTATGGGTGCTGAGCTGACATGCGAATGCAAGCTTCAAATCATTGTATGTGGTGATGGTGCTGCCGGGATCAACTTTGAGCACTCAGGCGTAGACGGGCACACTGTACTAAGGTGAGCATTTTGTGACTGTCCTCTGCCCTTATTGATGTTTCCTAGATTCGCAGCAGACGTATACACCGAAGGCCTTATGCTCCTCGCGCGGTCTATCAACCCCTCCGCGCCCACACTCTTCCATGCGCCGCTCTCGCCGCACTCTAAATCGTACAAGCCCCCCAAGTCCTCCGGCAAGGCATCCCACGCGAACTCGCATTCGCTCTCGCAGATGCAGGCCATGTACGACACAGCACCCAAAAAGCTCGAGTGGGCGCTGACACCCGAAGTGCGCGTCGGGATCCGGTTCGCCGAGACGCGCCTGAGCGACCTGATCTGCCAGAACGACTGCCAGGCACTCGAGTTCAAGGGGTACGGGAAGAACTTCATCACGAGCCACGGGTTCAGCCCGGACGCGTTTGTGCAAATGGCGTTCCAGGCGGCATATTTTGGGCTGTATGGCCGGACGGAGTGCACGTACGAGCCTGCGATGACGAAGGCGTTTCTACATGGGCGAACGGAGGCGATTCGGACGGTGCAGCCGGAGAGTGTTGACTTTACGAAGGTAGCCTAACATGTGCTCTGCTGGTGATCGAAAGCTCACGATCTATGGTAGACGTTCTTTTCAGAGGCATCGGCGGCACAGAAGGTGTCTGCTCTGCACAAGGCATGCGAGCGCCATGTGAAGCTGACGAAGGAGTGCAGTCAAGGTCTCGGGCAAGACAGGTGCGTGGCTCACATCTCTTGCACCAAGGCATTTCACCGACTGTGAGAATACAGACACTTGTACGCACTGCAATGCATTCACCAGCGCGATGTAGCGGGCAACCTGCATCCTTCTCCTGACGACCCCGTCAACGGCTTCTCCAACCATCCCGTCCCGTCCATCTTTGCTGATCCGGGCTGGAGCCTGCTGAGCACGTCGATCCTGTCGACCTCGAATTGTGGCAACCCCGCGCTCAGGCTCTTCGGCTTCGGACCCGTCGCGGCCGACGGGTACGGTATCGGATACATTATCAAGGAGAACGGCATCTCAATGTGAGCTTACGCGTCCCACTCCCTCGGCTTTCGCGTTGGTGCAATCGTGTGCAATAATGCTGACGATTAATCCGTGATAGTGTCGCTTCGTCAAAGCATCTACAGACGCGGCGGTTCCTGGATACGCTTCAGAGCTATCTGCACGATGTGCAGCGCGTTCTCGTCCAGTTGCACCGGTCCGCCAACGAGCGGCCGGCGCCGTTCGTAGACCACGCGGGCATCCTGCGGGACTCAAAGACAGGCAGGCCTATCAGCGGGCAGAACTACGTGTCAGATGGGGAGGAGGACTACGAGGACACGATGCGTAAGTGGTGATTCGCTAGGTGACGAAGGTGTGACGTCTTATGGTGATTGGTCGGTGCAGCCGGGTATTCGTTCTTCGATAGTGGCGACATTGAGCTTCTCGGTGGCCGGAAGAAGAGTCCGTATGCGAACGTTGGTGAGTGTTTTACCCGTGGCGCGGTATGCCGAGTTATCGAGTTTTGCTGACTCATGTGATTGTAGGTAAAACATTACCGATGTCTGACTGGTAAAGGTTACTTGGGTAGCGGGGAGCTGTGCGCTGATGTACTACCAAATTGTGACATAACCTGTATTCTGTTGTGATATCATTATTGTATACGTTGTAGATTGAATCTGACATCATATGGAGGTTGTCGGTGGCCGGCGGGCGTGGATGACTACGTCAGGTGGTTGGATGAGTTGCTTACTATGCTTCGCAAGCAAACAGACGACAACTGAGCTCAAGGGTGGGAGCGATGATATCACCCCATCTGAGTATATCAGCGTGGAAATCCTCCGCCCCTCCTATCCTCTCTCTCACTTCACCACCCACCAAACGAACACAATGTCCCAACACACGCTCCCCGATCTCCCCTACGCCTATGATGCGCTTGAGCCCTACATCTCGCGCCAGATCATGGAGCTTCACCACAAGAAGCACCATCAGACCTACGTGACCGCGCTCAACGCTGCCGAGGCCAACTACGCCAAGGCCAGCTCTCCCAAGGAGCGCATCGCCCTCCAGGCTGCCCTCCGTTTCAACGGTGGTGGTGAGTGCCCCAATCAATACTCTCTTGATCTTTGTCTCTTCGACGCCTCGACCTCTTCATTTCCGAGCCTATCACGGGCGATTATCTTATCTCACGGCGAAGATGCCGTAACTTTTCTCCTTCTTTTCTACGATTACAGCTGTATATATGCGCCGATTCTGACGCTGATTTTTGACGCTGTGTGCTAGGCCACATCAACCACTCTCTCTTCTGGAAGAACCTTGCGGGCTCCGCGGCCGAGGGCAAGGGCAACGGTGGCCAGCTCAAGCCCGGCCCGCTCAAGGATGCCATCGATGAGGCTTTCGGCTCGCTGGACAACCTTAAGAAGGGGTTCAACGCGTCCACCGCTGCCATCCAGGGCTCTGGCTGGGGCTGGCTCGTGCGTGCTTTCTCCCGCTTTTCCTTCTTGAGATGGTTAGGCTGACACTAGCGATGGGATGTAGGGCCTCAACCCCCAGACGAAGCGCCTTGAGATTACCACGACGGCCAACCAGGACCCGCTCCTGACGCACGCCCCCATCATCGGTGTTGATATCTGGGAGCACGCGTTCTACCTCCAATACCTCAACGTCAAGGTCGACGTACGTACTTTCCTCCCTCGCTTCGTGCCTGCATGCGCATATATTTAACGCCTTTGAATAGTACCTTAACGCGATCTGGAATGTGATCAACTTCGACGAGGCCGAGACCCGGTACAAGGAGGCGATCTCCGGCTCCAAGCTCTAAGTTAGCTTCGGCGGCGGAATAGCGGGGGCTCAACGCAACGAATAAACTGTAAAAGTGAAATGCACCATGTATCATTGTAACATTCTCGGACTGCCTTGTCTCTCGCAATGCCATGCAGGTTGGATCCAGAGGTTCTGATAGCGCGCGACGATTGTGTCCGATTAGATCAGCGGCCTACAGTGTGGATTTCGGAACTCTGCTCGGTGAGGGGCTAATGATGACGCAATCCGGTGGCTGTGATTGGCTTACGGGCGAATGTTGTTCTCACGCGTCTTTGTTTTCCATATACTGTTCGCGTCAACAACACGACTGTGTCGCTCACTGCATCCCGAGCGGTGAATCCGTTACACTGCTCTTTGAACATCTCTACCCGCTCTTGGCCGCGAATTTTCCTTTATTCAGGACTTAACTGATTCTCAGGAATGTCAATTTTGGACGGTTCTCACATTTTTCGTCGCCTGTTCGTCGCATCATCGTCGCGCGCATCGGTGGTGATCCTCGGAGGAGTCCTACCGCTCTCCCTCAAGTTTATCTCGCATGTCCGTCGAGTTCCCTTAACACATTAGGCTAGGGCCTTCGCTTCGGGCCAGCGTGGTCACCGCATGGCCCCGGGGCTATTCTTGGCAGTGTTCCATGGCACAACAATACTACTAAGGGCGATATGAGGAACCCGCGCCGTGCACAGGATAACACATGAAGGCACAAGGGCGGGGACGCAGACTGGGTGTCTCGGCTATACAACAACGCCGCTTTACTTATTAACCTCTCCCCATGTGTGTACGCGTTTCAGGTTTGCTTTGCACCCCTTCCTCTTCGTCTTCTTGTTCCCCGCAAACGCGATGGCGTCTCTTGCTGCATCGGCAGCTGGGCTTCAGGCGGTCAAGGTGAGTACGTCGATGTATGCGGATATGATATACTTCTAGGCGCCGATGGGCGTTCTCCAGTATGCAAAGGGTTAGTTTATGCACGCATGTCTTTTGATAGTGCCGAAGTCTGACAAGAAATTGAAGTTTCTGGGCTAGCTTTGCTGGTGCGTACCAATCCACAGACATGACAAAACCAATGCTGACTACGAGCAGCTTTTCGACTACTGTATAACGTTTCCCTTGGAGGTGCGTCGTTATTCCACAGTGTTACTGACGGGCGTTCACTGCATGTATCCAGGTAAAGTGGACGTGGGGGCGGAGGTGGGACCTCACACAAATCACCTTCTTGCTGTCTCGCTATCTTCCGTTTGTTGCGGCTACGCTTGCAACTTATCGTGAGCCTACTTTTCCGCTCGGGCTTCTCGCCTCTCATGATTGCATACCAGCATTCCTAGTTGTTGACCATCACGACGTTCGTGGACTTCTTTTCGCTCTTCTTCGATACTCAGATGCACGTGCAGTGTTTCGCTCGTGGATGGGCAACTCACAGTGAGCCCTCAAACAAACGAATCGTCATTTACCTAGGCTGAACAGTACATAGTCCTATTCTCCATAAGCATCTTATCTTCTGACGGTAGGATAAGGCTGTGTTCATGCGACGTCTTCTTCTGACTTTCATCGAGGGCTCCTGCTCCTGCGTACATATGCGTTTTGGCTGCGCAACAAGCTCATCCTTGCATTCCTCTTGGTCACGGCAATAGTAAGTGCATAGCTACCTAACGAAATGGCGCCATCTTTATCTCCACCTTTAGGTCTTCGTTGTCGTTGCAGAAGTCTTAGTTGTCCATCTCAACAAGACTTTAGATACGGCAATTAGTACGTAGTCCTTTCAGATGATTGTCTCCGCGTGCAAACGAGTGTCTTTAGGTTCATGCATAGACATGACAGGGAGAGCTAGCGCGATTCAGTATGGCTTTCTGGTAGCGTACGAGATTAGTGCGTTAATTCTCGCCTCTTCCGGTGGTCGCATCTCATCTGAATCTATCGAAGTCATTCTACTGCTCATGGTAGTCAGGAATCGCAAACACCACAGCGACTCGCGCAGTTCCTTGGTCAGAGCGCTAGTCGTTGGCGCTGCCAAGTACATCTACGTTCTTTGCGGTAGATTGATCATCGGCTCTTCTTCCTTCCGATGACTCACGTCCGAACCAGCAGCGTCCGCAGTCAACATCCTTGTTCTTGCCTTTGCCCATGTAAGGTTATCTTTCATTCAGCTTCGCAGATGTCCTCACTCAGTGTACAGCCATCATATAGTGAGCTCATGTTCAAGTGCGTGTCTGTATGGCCGACCATGTACAACGTGTTAACTGTCTTATCTCTTCAGTGTACAGCTCGCCCTGCATAGTGCCATGTCTTCACGCATCCTTTTCGATCTACACACGACCCAAGAGAAACGGTTATCTACCCTGATAGAGCTGACGCGGCGGCCTCGCTCGGGGATCATTATTCATGTGGAACATTCGAGCCATGTCACAGGGCCTGACGACGCGAAGCACGCGGACGGCAGGCGTTTGGGCGTTCCGTCTTGTGTATAACATCCTTCGTATACCGCTTCCAATCCAATGTATCATAGATCGTTTGAATTAGATACCCTTGTAACATAGTCACATCACCCGGTCGAGGTGTTTCTGCTCAATCTCCAAGTGCCAAGGCTCACCAAAACTCTATGGTATTCATGACAAGTAAATCATTACACACAAACACATAGATAGTATATCACCATCATCATTGGAACGCGTTCCACGCCTCGTTCAGTGCCCCAAACACGCCATTAGCAATCATGCGCTGCTCCACCGTCGTATTGCTGGCGTTTAGCTACAAACAAGGCATAAGCTCCTTCTCCTGCCTAAGCAAAACGAAGACACGAAAACGCACCTTGTCTGGATGCAACCGCGCGATCGCCTTCATATACCGGATCTTGACCTGCGCGGGCGTGACCAGCTCCGCCATGCCGACCTTGGGCATGCCCAGCTCGGGCCAGAGTACAGTGTCTAGGCTGCCCATCAGCGCGCGGATGTTCGTCTCCTTGCCGCCCTTCCATGCGAGCAGGCGCGCGTCGACCGAGTCTTTGAGCTGGTGCCGCTGCTCGTCCTCGGCTTCGGCGGCGTTGTTTGCCTCGCGTAGCTTGTTAAGCGCCGAGTTCGACGGTGCGACCTTCGGCGCCTGGGCTGGGGGTCGGCGCGCTGCGGGTACCAGGCGCGGCTTCGGTTTGGGTGGTTGCGGTACAGAGGAAGATGAGGCGTCGCCGCCGCCGCCAGCGGAAGAAGCAGCGAGCGTCTTCCGACAGCGTCCTGCGCCGCGAACGCCCTCATTGCGCGTGGTGGACGACCCCCAGCCGAAGCCGGCGACGGTTTCCCAGTCCTTCTGCGCGAGATCCCACTTCTCGCGCGCCTCGTAAGCCTCCGCACGGCGCTTCAGAGCCTTGACGAGTCCATCGCCGATATCGACGCCCGCGCCGTCCTCCACGCGCTCGACTTTTGCCTCATGCACCGGGCTATAAGAAGCGCCGATGATGCCGATCGTCGTCGTGCAGTCGTCGATTGCTCCAGAGGAGTCGCCGGTCTTGATCCGCGCGATCGCGCGGTTGTTGAGCAAGGGAACGAGTAGGAGATGCGTGGCGGGCAGAGCGTCGATGGCGAGCGAGTACGCGGACTCGGCGTCGGCGTACTGGCCGAGCTTGTACTTTTCCGTTCCCGCCGCTTTGTGTTTCGCTGACGAGGCGATGGCGGACTGGGACGCAGAGACGGTTTGGCGTGTCGTGAGGCGGATGGGCGATGGGGCACGAGTGGGGCGGGCGCTGGACGAGGACGATGGGGTGGGCTCGGCGGATTGCTTGGGGCGACCGCGTCGCCACGGTGACACATAAGCAGCTGGGGATTCTGACGAAAGGAGGTCGACGTTATGGGGCGGTTGAGATGATGGCTGCTGCTGCTCGGGTTCGAGCTGCTTGCGTCTGGAAGGTTTAGGCGGTAACACCTCATCGCCATCCTTGAACCCTGCTGCATCTCGGCCCTGTTCCCTCGGTGCAGGCTTTCTACGCTCCCGTTCCCTTCCTTCGCCCTCACCATCCTGCACCTCCTGCATCCAGCGCGGTCGCCCATCCTTTGGCGGCGCAGCTTTAGCACCGGCAACCTGACGCTCCTCGTACAACTTCTGCGCCTTCTCCCTGCTCTCTTTCCAGAACGCGTTCGCGCGGTTAAACACGTTCATCCCGAAGTCGCTCGCCTGCGCCAGTATCTTTTCAGCCTGCGCGTTGAGGTCCTGCTGCGCAGACGGCGACGACGTATCGCGCGGCTGCTCCTGTTGCTCCTGCCCGCGCCGCTGTTCGCGCGGTGCGTCGCGTCGCGGCCGAGGGTCCCGCGAGGACCCCGGTTCGCCCCGGGAGCGTTGTTCAGTCGGTCTGCGCCGCTCAGGCTGACGGGGAGAGGGCTCGCGACGGGATGATTCGTGCCCGCCGGCACCGTTGGAGAGGAGCGTCTCGAGCGCAGCTTGGACGTCGAGTCCTGTTTCTGTGGCAGCGAGAGCGACCCGGGCCTGCTGCGGCGAGAAGCCCATCTCGACGATCTGACCAATGATATGCGGAGGGGGAGAGACCGCGCGTGAACCGTTAGCTGATTTTGGCCCGTTAGATCCATTCTGTACCCGCTCCTTTGTCACTTTAGCATTCAAAGCGGGAGGCAATGAGCTTACCTGGGGAGACGACCTCGCTGCCACTGAGTCCGTTGGCTTGCTTAGCTCCCCTAAGATATCATCCTCATCCGATTCGTCACCCGCCATCAGCCTATCCTCACGGTTTCCAAAATCAAAATCTCCTAGCGAGTCCGACCTGGAGCGCGCGGCAGGCGCAGAGGCGAATTCGTCCATGTCCCATATCGACTGAGATGACTTCGCGTTCCCGCCTCTGCCGTTGGACTGTCCGTTTGCCGAGCCCGAGGCCGTCGGCTTAGCGGAGGAGAAGTCGGCAAGGCCCCAGTCGTCGTCATCCAGAGTCGACGCCTTAGGAGGCGCCGCGGGTATCGGAGACGGCTTGGCCGCTGTGACCGCCCCCAGCCCAGCAAAGTCCCATTCGTCAACAGGTGGCGACGCGCTAGCAGGCTTGGACGGTGCAAGAGACAGGCTTGGAGAAGACGAACCAAGGGAATCGAGGCCAGCCCATGCTGCAGCCTGGGTCTGCGCGGCCTGCTGCTGCTTCTGCGCCTCCTGCTGTCTCTGCCTCGTCGCCATTGCCGCGCGCTCGGCGATAGTCATGGTCGCGCCCCCGCCTCCGAAGCCGGTACCAATCGAGCCCGAGAGCAGGCTGCTGAACGCGTCCGCGCCTCCTGGCGCATTGGATCGCGTGGTCGTCTGACTGGCAGACTTGGCGATGGCCGGTGGCGACTTGGGCGTTTGGGTGCGCGAAGGCTGTTGGGAAGGCGCGGCGAGAAGAGAGAAGACGTCGTTTGCGGGTCTGCGGGGCGCGGTGCTGTTCGTCTGGGAGAAGGGTGTGCCTAGCTTCTGCGGCGTTGGCTTGGCTGGTGCAGAGGAGCTCCAGAGATCGGCAAATGAGTCGGACATGAATGAACGTGAGGCTTGAGCTTGATGAGTGGGTGGAGAGATACAGTGGTAGGCCTGCTACAAGCTGGAGGATGCTGTCGTCGTGTACGCGCTGGGATGAGAGATGTGGTGGACGTCGGGGAGGAACTGCGGTGAGAACGAGTGAAGGGGTTAGGGTTATCATATCTTCCCTTAGTACAGGGGCATTTTCATACACGCCCCTCACCATCGTGTTCAACGTTCGTGATGCTCAAGTGAAACAAAATAAGACGTATTTGAAACAGTGGTCATGAATTTTTATCGCAAGATGCGAAATAGCAGCAGCCCGCAAAAGTGTAGCGTACATTCATGCTTCGAGCTACGGAAAACTAAAAAGTCTTGCTCCACTACTTTCTGCTCTACCGCGAGTTGCTATATGCGTGAGTAGAACTTCGAAAGCCAGAGAACAAACCACAAACAGCGTACAACTACATATCTATACTTTAACCTGCGGAATATTAAACAGCTTCACACCCTCCACCTGCTCGCCCCCGCCCCCGCCTTCACCTCGGCGTAACGCAACGTACGCTCGCTCTCTGGAACGTCCATCGCGTCTAGAAGGGGCGCGGCTGCCTCGGGTATGAAAGGCTGCAAACACAGTGCGCAGACACGGATCGTCTTGAGGACCGAAACGTACGACGTCGCCGCGGGCTGGGGATCCTGCGCCCAAGGTGCACTGTTGTTCACAGCCGCATTGGCCTGCGATCACATCATAAGCACGACAGTGCCAAAGATATCGCGTGGTAGACATACCTGACGAAGCACAAGCATGATCGCCTCGAGCGCATCTCCGATCTCGAGCACGCGACGCCTACAGCTTTCGCCTTCTCTGTGTCTGACAGAAGCGCTTTGATGTCCAAGTTCTCATCGGCTTTCTCCACGGGTGCACGAATCGCTTTGGATGTGATCCGCATAAAGAGGCTCCCAAGCAGAGTACGAAGCTCATCCGAATGCTTGTCGAGCTGCTCCGTTGACCAGTCTAGCTCAACACAACCTTCTGATTAGAACGTAGAGACGGCGATAACAGAGGAAAAACACGCACCGACATCATCCCTGAACCGTCCCCCCACACGCGCGAGGTAGAACCTCACAACATCCACCCCATATATATCCATCGCCTCAAACGGATCCACGACGTTGCCCACCGATTTGGACATCTTCCGCTGATTAACCGTCCAGTGCGCATGCGTCAGAATCGTGCGCGAGAACGGCAGCTCCAGCGCTTTGAGCATCGCCGGCAGATAGATCGCGTGGAACCTGTCCCCACATGAGCCCACGAGCACTCGGAACAGAATCAAGAGTTAAAGGCTTAGCGGAGGATATCCTTCCCAATCACCTGCACGTCCGGCGCCGACCCCGCCCCACTGCCCTCCGCCGCCCCACCCGCCCACGGAAACCCGATCCCGCCGAGATACACCGTCAGCGCGTCGAACCACACGTAGATCGTGTGCTCCGGGTCGCCCGGCACCGGCACACCCCACTCGAGCCGCGTGCGCGGCCTGGACACCGAGAGGTCGTCCAGGTCGTTGTTCCGGAGCAGATCGACGAGGTACTCGTGATAGCTCGACGGGAAAATGGAGCCCTTCTCGCGCGTGTAGTGATCGAGCAGCGTCTCGCGGAAGACAGGCGGAACTTGTAGGTTTCCTCCTGGTACCATTCGACGGTCGATCCGACACCATGATGGCTTCGCCCGAGGAGAGGGTCGTCTTGTGCACTTGAGAAGGGGCGTAGAAGCATTCGTCTGAGACAGAGTACCATACCTCGTACGCGTCTTTGTAGATGAGCCCTTTCGCGTCGAGTTGTTTCTACAGCGTCCCTGTTACTGCGCTTTGCAATAAAACGCGGAATCGCGCGTGTCAAGAGGTGTGCATTCCACGGTTTTCCGACACCAACCTCTTGGTCTACCGACACCACCCAGGACCCCTGAATATAGGCACAGAGGCCTGTCCGACTTCGGCGAAAACCCGGTGCGTACATAGGGGTTAATTACCTGTCACGTGACGTTACCTGGTGCGTACATAGCACCAGGCCTTTCGGAGATAGGGGCTAAGTCGGTGCGTACATATCACCAGGCCTCCAAAGAGCTGGTGCGTACATGACACCAGGCACTGACTGTATGCCAATTTCAAGATGTGCTCCTATTATGCAAATACTACCCATGTAGAAAGGTATACTGTACATGTCGAAGTAGTCATTTCTTTGCCACTGTACCCTTTGTGATATTGTTAACCTTCCTCTTGCTCGCACTCGGCTTCTCCTGTGGCTTTCCATCTTTAGCTGTTGTCTTAGGTTCGTTGTAGATTTTGAATGAATTGACCAGTGCCTTGGTTTCGTCAACTAGCCCTTGAAACCGTCGAAGAGCGTCTTCTGTGATGTCGAGTGTGCGAAGATCAATGGACATAGTCACATTCCCGGGCATAATTTGCAGAAACTGAATGGACGGAAGGTGCGCGAAGCGCCACGCTTGAGGTAGAGGAGATTCTCCGGCGGGTGCTTGGTGAATTGCTCGGAACCTCCGCAGTTTCTTCATGATATACTGGAAAACTTGCAGAACAAGATAAGAGACGCGTCCGATACTGTCGACAGCCTCGACCCATGAATGGGGCGTGTTGCTCGAGCCGCCTTGACAGTAGACAGCTAAGACTTGATGAAGTAGATTTGATTAACACGACAGATCCCGCGTAGGTACATTATTGACGCACCTTTCCCTACCATCACTTGGCCATCAATGAATACAAAGCCGTACCGCTCTGCCTTAAGTGGGTATAGTGTTCGTCCGACAACGGTCGATGAGCCTACACCAGCATCTCCGAGATTTTGTGCTTGAGGTGCACCACTGGCAGCAAAAGCCCGTGTACGCTGTGTGACCACCTGGATAAACAATGTATGAGTTGTCATGTGCTTGAATATACATGACTTACTGCTGCTGCCCGAGAACCAGCCGTTAATCTTGCATTGAGGGCATTACCTGTGGGCTGAGACTGTCCCCTCCAGTGTACTTGGCGTACAAGACCTGTCGAAACTCGAAGTGCCTGTTCATCTATGTTGTGCGCACGTAAGATCTCCTGCATTCTGCGAGCGATTTGAGTTCGAGTTTTGTCTGCCTCTGTAAACGTTTCGTTTTCGTCCTCGTTGTACGCTCTGGCCGACGTGCGAGTGCACTTCTTGGCCCAATGAGGCTCATGGCGGCGTCTCATCTCGACGAGAACCATGAAATTGAGTGACTCGTGAATGTTTACAACGTCATCTGACGCGTGAATATGTTCTTCATCAACCAACTTGACCTGCGGCAGAGAGATGCGACCTGCTTGTTGAATAGCCTGTATGACATGCTGTTGATCTTCCTCCACGTTCCGATGACGTTCCTCATCCGTGAGGTCCGGTGTTTCCTGGCTAATCAATAAGTTAGAATAATTTAGACAAATGTCAATCCGAGTTGTAATACTAACGCAAATTTTGACTTCTCTAAGCCAAGCGCAGATGCTGCGTATGTGAGAGCTAGCATTTCCTCAGCGTCGTCATCTAGATTATCGTCCCAAGAAGGCAAGCTGGTATACTCTTCAATAAAATCGGTTTCTTCGAGTTCCAATACGGCTTTGTCGTGTGCCAATGGATCGGTAGACAAGGGCTCGTCGGGATCTGTTTCAGACGTAAACCAAGACCTGATACTCGGAAGCCTCAAAGTCTCCTCAGTGTGGTCCCCAAGAAATTCGGCCGGCGAGAGACCAAGGCGCATGAATAAACTGTCAACCTCTTCCCATGCCTTCTCGGAGCACGCGTCTATCTGCGAATCGGATGGGAATGTAGCAAGACGTGGCAGATCAACCCGGATGCTGTCAAAGAGGGTGTGGTGGTATCCAAGTTTTGCTCCTGACGGATTTCCTTCCTCAGCGTCGTAGGACTTTAAGGCAGATCGTGTCATCCGCAGGAGTTTTGGGTGCATGTAGATGAAGTCCAGGTAAGTGAAATCCTTCAGAAGTTTGCGAAGCTCTGCAAACATGTGCTCACAAGCTTCGCTCGAGTGAAGCCACGGTAAAAGAGGGAAATCAGTATCGACGGAGATGTAGTCCCGGTACACCAAAATAAGAGCAAGGAGACCGTCGGCGAGCATGTTGAGAATGTTAAAGGCTTGAAGAGATATGAAGTAACGGTGCTCTGGATAGCCCATGGCACGTAGAAATTCTCGCCACACAAGAAGAAACTGCTTTGCCCGAAGTAGCATGACAGTGCGCTCTTCGAGACTGATATGTCTGCTCTGGTAAGCGTCAACGAGCTCTCCACAGATGAAGAGATAGACGATGAGGCCAAGGCGGCCCTTCATCTCGCTGTCGTTGATGATATACTCGAGAGTGTTAGCACAGAAGAGACGTGTTGCAGCTCGGTCGTCCTGTCGATCAAGGCGCTCGACGTCGTTACGATAGAGCGGTCCATCTTTTGAAGCAAGGTCGTGAGCATATGAGTACATAACAATGTAGTTGACCAAGACGAGAACATGAGCGCCAGATATCATGTTATTGCGGCAAGTCTTGAGCGCGTGCTTTGAGTCTTGGATCATAACGACTGGCTGGCCATTGAACCTGGCAATCTTGAGGACAAAATCTTCCTGTCCTGGTATTGGATTCTTGATAGTGTAGGTACAGTAGTCGTCAGCAGCCTCGGTTATAAGACGTTGAACAACTCGTTCTGTCTCAGTACCATCGCAGGCATATGACACAACCTTGGTCCCGTTCTCGGTAAGCCCGCGAATGAGGCGAATGGAAAGGGGAGCGAGTTTCTTAGCAGGGACGCTCTCAGAGATCGCCTTTGCAGCAATGATAATCGGAGGGATATTAGGGAGCGGTACCTGCAAGCACCATATACGAAGCTGGCATTACAGTAAGTGCCGGTAATATCTCGAGTTCAGATGTAAGCGACAAACTTTTGTAGCTTTCTTGCCTTGGAGTTCCTTGAGAGCCTCCTCAAGTTCTGCGGGATTGGCAACGAGTCTGGGCTCCTCGCTGCTCCCGACTAATACATGTCCTTGATGTTCAACATCCCAGAAAACTCGTAAGGAAGGGTGGAGTTTTGTATCGTCACAGCTAAGGCTTGCAACATCTACACCCACAGACTTGAGATAATTAACCGCCATCTTGATGTTTCGGTCGTCAATTCCACATGGAAAGCGCGGCTCCTTAGCCCGCTCAAGCCTATAGAAGTAGTGAGCACAAAGCTCGAGAATTCAGTAATGAAAACTCACTGAAAGTACCGTGTACTTGGAAGCTGGAGCGACTGAGATAATCTACGGTATCCTTCGGGACTAGACATGGCCAAGTGGTCCGCAAGCCCCTTCAGCTCTTTAGAATAACGCATATTTTGCATCCCTTTGCCCTTCTCTTTGCGTTCATTGGCGTCGACGATTGCCTCAAGAATTCCAATTGCCTCTTTCCTGTTTGCGAGCCCACCCTTCATAACACCTAGCGCAAACTTGACAGCGGCGGATTTTACTGCGTCCTATTCGAAGACGAAGAGGTACATTGTCAATGTAAAAGGGAGAGAGTTAGATACTGCGTACGTTCTCATAGAACTCTCGAAGACCTTTGACGCGGGAATAGAAGAGTCCAAGCTGTCTATTCTGGTAACGCTTGTTGTTGTACTTGTAATCGTGCGCCTTGGGTTCTTTTATCTTGATCGCCTTTTGAAACTCGGGAGACAGGTAGACACTTGAGCACGCTGGGCACATCCCTTGCAAACGATATGCTGAGTCAGAAATCAGCCTCTGGCAGTCAGCAGCAAAGACACGGGATTGCTCGTGATAGTTAAGCCAGGCAAGTCCATGGTTTCGAATCGCGTCGATTATGATTTTGTCGGTGTCGATGAGATCGGAGTAGGGGACCTTGAAGCGTTTCATAGAAAGATCGTGTGGAGACGTTCCCCCACCGCCAATATCTCCCGAGCGTCGAAGATACGTGCCCACCTTTTCATCAGTTCTTTCGGAGATTCCCATGCATGGGAATGCTACGGGCGGCTGTATTTGTGGCTGCATCTCCTCCCCTTTGTCGACTTTCCATGACTTCGGCTTGGGCTGGAAGTAACCAGTAACCTGGTTCGTGTTCGCCTCTCCCCTGCATTTCTTTTCGATATGGTTCTTGAACTTCCACGTATCATAAGGACCTTTTTGCAGGATTGTATCGCGACAATGTGAGCAGCAGACCGACCACGCCTTCCCATACTCCAGGATGGCTACTGGGTCAAGTTCCTTGATTTTCGTGTCGTAGACCTCCTTCCTCTCAGGATCAACGATCAGAGTCCCAGCCTTCATATGGTTTCGCAGTTCTTTCTCGTTAAGGGCTGATCGCTTGGGTCCGCGAGTAGGACTGCCTCCATCCTCATCCTCCGTTTCAGCAGCATTATCAGTGATAGTAGCTGATTGTCCTCGCTTTCGCTGCTTCTTGGGCTTACTGACTGCGTTCGCTGCAGATGCGGCTGATAACCCCCGCTTGCGAGAATCTGATGGCGGAAGAGGTGTGTTATCTACAACTTGGATAGGAGGAGGCTGGAAGGGTAGTAGAGGGGACTGCTCGTTGGGTGATGGCTTGGGCTTTAATCGCTTCTTTGTTGGCTGAATGAGCGAAACATTCACAGATAAAGATAACCCTCGCTTGCGAGACTCGGCGAGACTCGAAGATTCGTCCTCAAGCTCGAAGGGGAGGGGACGAACGGCCTCAGACGGTACAGGAATATCTGCAATGCCTGAAATACCAGCGTCAGGCGCTAGTGCACCAGCAGTGAGCGTTTCGCCAGTCATCTGCTTGTTGAGGTTGGATGGAGCTGCAGCGGACGTATTGCTGCTTGAGTGAGGGGTAATAGACGAGCTGATAATATCCGTTGCTGGTGCAATGTCTGTTGTTCCGCCAAAGTTGTAGTCTCCCCAATTGACGTCGAAGTTCTCAAGCCGTTGAGAGGCGACAGCTCTTGCGGGAGTTTCCTGTAATATATCAGCAAAAAGGGCCTGGTTTGGTGAGTACTAAACACGTACAAGGGTTATCTGATGATCGCTTAAATCTATGAATAAGGATATACGATGCTTCAAACGATCCTTATGCTTGAAGAGCGGTTCACCAAAGAGGTTGTGTGCGATTGTATTGACTGTGCATATCCCGCATGATGAGCTGTCTTCCTGTACTCCGTGAGGTAAAGTATTTCCAAGCTCTTTGAACTTGGAGCCATTGAACTCGTACTTCAGCCATCGCGTTAAAGGCTCCATTATCTCCTCAGGTCGTTCTGCACCACGCATTGAGTCACCTTCGGACGGCTATCAGGTATGCTTGCATCATAATGAAGATATCTTACCATAGCTGATCGTCTCCTCTTCAAAATCAACGCGTATGGCGATCCAATGGCTGTCGCTGAGATTGACCGGGAAATAGAATACCGGGCGCGTTCCTTCGTGAAAGAATCGGGTATAACACTGCAAGTAAGCAGGTAAGGCTTGCGGTCGCTTTCGTCCACTATACACGCCCTTGATGGTGTCGGAAAAGTGCACTGGAGCGATGATGACAGATTTTGATAGCTCAAGATCCAGGTTCACCCGCCACGAGAGCCGACACATCGCAGCGTTGATGTGCTCGCTGGCTAGCCACGAGTTATTTGCGAGCAACGGGGTAAGATCTTCGACGTTGGCACCACCACCGATGACATGCCAGTACTGAGACCAGGTAATGCCGTGCAACATGACGAAGGCCTGGTCTGCGCCGTGGATGCTGTTTGTTTTTGTTCCTCTGACGATGAGCGATTGCAACCAGCCCAACGCTGCAGCCCACCGTGAGTGCATTGATGCGATAGCACTGATATCCTTCCAGTATGTGAGGGCCCAGAGTGGTAAACGCGGCCCCAGGAATCGAGGATCTTTGATTGATCTTGCTCCATTCCGCAATGCATTTGAGAGGTTCTCCTCCATTTCTTCGCGCCAATCCGTGCTGGGTATGGGCCGTGTTCGAAGGCACTCGAAGAGTATTTCATCATCAGTCTCAGCCTCCTCGGTACTGAAGCATGTGCGAGTGTCGTAAGGTAGGAGATCATTGGACTGTGTCGGCACCTCTATATTCACAAAGCTTGGGATAGGAAGTTGTCTATTAGGTTTGAGATCTTGAAAACGATCGGGGACATGGAGGACCTGTCTCAACGTCTCTCCGCTGGCCATAGCGCGAGGAACATGCACTGTTGAGCCCGGTGTTGGTTGTACAAGGTGAAGCAATTGGGCTGGCTTAGATGGCCTTCGGACTTATTGGACCTATTCGATAGATATGGGCATCACACTGATCTCAACGATAGCTGATTGGAGCAATGATCAACACAGCCTGACAAACGTAGCAAGTTTCTAACATATGTGTGCATTTCTTTACTACAATTGGTTGGTCAGATTAGCTCGAAAATATCAGGCAGTGCTTAGATGGGGCGCGAAACAGAAGCCTGAGTGTCATCTCCTAGATCAGGACCGGCGATTGACCGACTCAATGGCGAGTACATAGCACCAGCCATTGAGCCCGAGACCCCTGGGGCCGGTGCGTACATCCAACCAGGCCTCACGTAGCCCCTATCTTTTCTTGCTCTCTGGACGTCGAAACTGGTGCGATTTCGGGGTTAGCCGAACCAGGCATATTTCCCCATTTGGAAGGTTGGTGCGTACATTCGACTAGGCTTTTCGTCCAAAAAAGGAAGGTGCGGTGCGTACATAGCACCAGGCATTACCACTGATATTCACGGGTCCTCACCACCCCCCCCGCCCCACCGTGACCGTAACATGTCCCTAACAGGTAAGCAGTGACCCATCGGGATCACATCTCGATCATTTCGATCGTCTCCGACTTTCATCTCCTCCTCCTCGTCCCCTCGCGCGCGTTGACGCGTTTTTCACGCGTCGACTCAAGATAATATCGAGAAAAATAACACTATTATATTCGTACACGACATCACATTGTATAGTAGTACTTTTGAGCAATGCATCAGAGAGTCGAAGAGCAAGAATGAACGAAAAACGAATGCTGAGTTGAGCAGAGGCCGAGAAACAGACAATTGAGCAGAGAGACGAGCAGAGAGACGAGCAGAAACACGAGATCAAGAAGAACGAAACACGAGAGCAACTAGGGTAGACGTTTAGTCCTCTTTGGCTTAGACTTGGGCCCAGACTGAGCACCGCGCTTGAGAGACGAGCCCGAGGCCACAGGCGGCTCCGAGGGATCAGGTTCAATGGTACGTTGAGTCACGAGCGGCAGGAACGAACGATGAGAATCGGGAATGTTGGCAAAATCGTACTCGAGTGCTGTCAGCGCGAGCTCGTCGAGAACGGCCGGAGGCAAAGCATGGCCACCGCGAGATAGATCCGGCAGAGCATAGAGCGGATGGTAAGCTGAAATATGAGCAAACATGTTATACCTTCATACGGCGAGGACAGGTTTCTTCTCCAACCGGCCGGGGACGCGGGGATGGCAAAGAGGGCAAGCCAGAGGAACATTGCGCGTGGGGCGGTTAGCAGACCCTTTTGCAGCCTGGCTGTACGAGATCGTGTGATAGCGACTGCACCGGCTGTCGGGTGCACCAATAACAACACCGTTGTTGTTGATGGTGATACGGGTCTCGCACTGCCCGGTGGCACACCAGCCACAGGGCCAGGACGAGCTTACCTGCCATGGACATTAGTAGAGAAAGGAATAGAAAAGGGCCACGCACCGGCTTCACAACGAGATGATCAGGAAGCTGAAAAAGCGCACGTAGTATATGAATCCCATGATGCGTGCGAGCATCATGCTTTGACGGGATCTTCAAACCACAAACGTTGCAAGGTTCGTTTGATGTATCAGACGTACTCGCGTCTAATAGCTCAGCCACGAATGAGGCCCGACCTGTCAATGAAAATCAGCGTATAAATCAATCGAAAACGGGAAAGGGCATACCACCAATGGCATAAGGGAATGTACCACCACCGACCAATGGTGTGATGGTCTTGAGCGACCGAGCTGAGAGACCGGCTGATACCAGCGTTATGTGGAGGACTGAGCACGTCATGGTCAGTGTTTCATGAGGAACCTGCCAAGTAAAATCGACAGAAAGTGGGATGGACGGAAATGAAGAGCGGTCGAGGTCTGGGCGCTCCGAGAATTGTGTGAGAATGGTGTTGACACGTTGAACGAGATGCCCATCAGACGTTACCAGTGCCGGCTTCTCACCGGTGTGTGAAATGCCCTGGACAGTGGTGATCTCCTTGATGTAATCGCCAGTCCAGTACCAGTCTGTCTGAAGACCGTCGTCTGTCGGTGTGGTGATGTCCCTGAGGTCGAGCACCTGACCCTTAACTCGCGTTTTGGGATCTTGTACGGCTCCGTATTTGAGGAACGGCACCGTGTAGCCGTTGTGCGTGATGGTGGTGGAGCGCGCGAGAGCTGCAGAGATGACCCCACCCGAGCGGACAAGACAGACAAAGGGGTCGCCCAGAGTAAAGATATCGGTGCCGGCGGATGGTCGAGCTGGTGTGGTGTGAGCATTCTTGCGTTTGAGAGACTTGGTGAACGAGGCACAGCGTCCAAGCCTGTTGAGGGACTTGCGATTGAAGCCAGTGTTGATGAGGATTTGGACAATTGAGGCCTTGTGGACCCAGTTGCCCTTGTAGAGGCACCAGTCGAGGGGCCGTATTCCAGGGCCAGACGGAGTAGGTAGCACGCCGGGGGAGGGATCGAGCGGCAGCAAGTCGGGGTCGAGCACCTCATCCGAAACAAAGTCCTCGAGCCCCTCTTCAAACTCGCGGACCTCAAGCTCGTCATCGGCGTCCTCATCAGTGCTATGGTGAGTCTGGTGGTGGTTGTCAGGGATGGGGGGGCTAAAAATATGCACGTTAGTGAGGGTTACACAAGCATAAGTAGTGCATGAGCGACTCACAGTGGTGCCGGATTAGAGGGATCCTCGCCTGCATCATCCGAGGAGATGCCAAAATATTTGTTGCCGCCGAGTGGCCGTAAGAAGTCAACACCGGAGCCTATGAGAAGGCTGTCGTAGTCGTAGACATCCGGCGAGAGTTGGGAGGTGGAGAGGATCGCGTGGGCTTGGTTGCGACCAGCAAGCCACGAGGCAGGTATGTTGCAGTTGACAGGTGTGAGGTCGGCGTCCCAGTGGCGCCGACGTAAATGGTTAGGGTTAGGGAGGAGTGTAAAACACAGTGAGTAGATCTCAAAGAAGAGGTTGTCGACGAAGGGCGGACAACTGGCTTGGAGAGACTCCAAGGCCACCAGTTTCGTCTTATATAGACTCTTCAGGTCCGCTTAGTAACGGGTGTAAGCGCACAGTAATCACCGACTCCATCGGCTATCCGATCGGATTCCCGGTCGGACCGCTGATTGGTAAGGAGCGGAATGTAATTACTGATGACACATCTTGCAACTAGAGCGGACCTGCCGAGCCATTTAAGGCGAGCCGGTGATCCGGGAGTCTTACCAAGCCTACCTACCTATAAATCTTACTGCCCAAAAGGTGGCCCCTTAGGGTGAGCCTTGGTTAGGGATACACCAAAAGCCCTCAAAATTTTGAGACTGACAAAAGTGCAAGTTGCATTTTCGCAGTTTCGAGACTGACAAAAGTGCAACTTGCACTTTTGCACTTTCGAGACTGACAAAAGTGCAACTTGCATTTTCGCACTTTCGAGACTGACAAAAGTG